ACGAAGGATTGGCAACTAGAGTTGGAGAGAACACTTTTTTGACTAGACTTTTTATGTACTATTTCATGAATTTGGATTTTGGATGAAGAATTTATAGAGAGTTAAAGCCAGCACATCCAATCAAAGGTAGTAAGTAAGTGATTTTATTCATAGTAATGGTTGGAGCCATATCTTGAGTTTTTGAACAAATTTTTGGCTCAAACTTTTTGGAGAACATAGATTATTGTGTTAAAAAGCTATACATATAAATTTTGTGGCATTTGAGTATTTAGTTTGTAAGATATGAAGAAAATTATTTGTAGGTGTGTAAAAATTAGGGTTTAAAGCTAATATTAGGATTATGATGATATCTTAAGATCTACGACAAATTTGGAGTTAAAATTTTTTTTAGTAGTTTTTAGAAATACATCAATACTCTATATAAAATTTTAGTATGTTTGAATGGTCCGATTAAAAGATATGAATTTCTAAAGTTCAGAAATAATATCCACAAGGATATTTAAGGATTTAGAGGTTTTATCATATTTTGGGTGTTTTTCAGAACTTAAGACTTATGTATTTGGTGTAATAGCACCTAAAAGTATATATATATATATATATATATATATATATATATATATATATAATTACAAACTTGTTCTTTCTCATATCAAGACTTGATTGAGCAATTAGTAACTGCTAAAAGCCTAGTACTTTCTTCAGGCAAACTCTCTCTACCTCGATAGTGTCTTCTACATAATAACACCATTCTTGAAATAAATCCATTGTTACAAAAAAATCTTTATCATGAATCTCATAATTAATCTTGATTTCTAAAAATATTTTGAAATAAAAAGCTATTAGATGGAATTTGTCATCTGCTCCCATTTGTGATAATATTATACCTAAGGCAAAGTTTGATATATTTGTTTCCATAAAAAATGACTTGAAGAAGTCAACACAATATAAAATTAGTACAAAAATAAACTCTTTTTTTGAAGTATCAAACAATGCTTCAGCTTCTTTACTCTACTAAAGTTTGTCTTTATAAGTCAAACATGTAAGTAGAGGTACAACTTGAGAAAAAAATTTGATGAAGATCCAATAGTGATTGAAAAAGCCCAAAAAGTATTGCATATTCCTTATTGTTCTTGAAATCTTCCAATCCATGATAGTCTAGATCTTCTTTGGATCCATCATTAGTTCTTCATTGGAAATGATGTATCTTAAGAAGTTAACTTGAATAGTATGGAATATATACTTTTTTAACTTGGCATATAATCTTATATTTCTACATTTTTGTAATACACAACGAACATAAATTTAATGTTCTTTTACATTCTTAGAATAGATTAAGATGTCATCTAAATAATAGATGACAAAATCATCAAGAAACTCACAAAAGACATCATTCATTAGATGTTGAAAAACAATTGGTATATTTGTGAATTCAAAAGGCATGACATTATATTCAAAATTTCCATACGTGGATTGAAATACAATTTTTCATTCATCTCCTTCTTTAATGCGTACTAGATTATATCCTCTTTGTAGATCTATTTTTGTATAAATCTTTGTTTGATTCATCATTAAGAATTTAGATATAATAGACTTATGTATTTTTATTTGATTTTTGGAATTTTGGATTAAATTATCAAAAAAATTAAATTTATAAGAAATCCAATCTATTTAAAGATTATACTTTTTTAACCAAGAAAATTCTAAAATAATTAGATTAGATGGAGATTTTTTACATAAAATATTGTTATGCTATTATAATCTTTAATTGCTACATCTAAAGAAAGAATCTCATGCGCAATATGTCTAAAAGATAGCAAACAACCATCTATGACTTCTACATATACAAGTTTAGTTTTTTGATTAATAATATCTCTTGTTTTTTGACAAAATCTTTGTCTATAAAACAAGGTGATGCTCTTGAATCTAACAAAGTAAAAACTTTGTGATTTTTTGGTCCTAAATAAACTTTTATTGTAAAATAAGGTGGAGGATCTAAGAAGAGAATGTGACCTTTATTTGGAGTTACATAAGATTCCAGCTGCACAATGCCCATTGAAATTGGAGAATTTTTTTTTTCAACACATTGTCTTCTTTAGCAACTATATTTCTCATTTTATTTTTACGTTGTTTTTTTAGACAATGTTGAGTAGTGTGTTTGACTTTTCCACAATATAAGCATAAGCTCTTTTAATGTCATCAAGTCTTTTCTTACTCCATGAGGGATTTAAAATGTATTGTATCAATTTGCATTGATTTTCACCTTAATGAATGTGTGTTTGAAAACTTGGAAGCTACCATCATTATTTGATTTATTTTTTTCTAACCAAGTCTTTGTTATTAATATCTTTCAAATAATTAATTATCACATGTAATGGCTTGAGTAATAAATTGTTTTAAAGATTCTACCTTTGACATTGTCAATAACAAATCTTTGACATTATCTTTCAACCCATATTGAAATTGATTGATAAAGGCTTTCTCATTCTAGTCCACGTTCCAAGCAAGGTTTTGGAATTGAACAACATATATGATGGATGATTATAATTCTTACCACAAAGATAAGAACTTGATCTTTATTATTCTTTTTCAATCATTTTTTCCAAATATGGCCATAAACACTTCTAAGAATAAATTCAAATTGTAAAGGAGTCTCAAATCTTTTTTCATTAAAGGAGCAAACCAAGATAAAGCACTTTGTGATAGAAGTGTGCCTATGAATCCAACTTGAATAAATCCATTGAGATATTGGAAGAGATGCAATTTTAGATAGAACTTGACTTATTACAAAAATCCTCAAAATTTTGATCTTGTTCCATTAAACTTCTCAGGCATACTAATCCTTGTTTCCATCATACTTGTAGAAGCAAAACTCCCTAGATTTGGTTGTGAGGTCAATCTATTTACTTCTTTCAATTGCACAACTTCTTGCCGTAGACTCTAAACTTCTTCTAAAGGTATAGGAATAGTATCTTCATGATTTATGTTAAAAATACATAAAATTTCTATTCTTAAAATGTTGATAAGCTCATGAAGATTTGTAATAGTTGCAAATCTATTTTCACTTCCATTGAGAATAGCATCCATAATCTTTCTTTCCATAGACAACTCAAACAAATTCAAAAAGTTAAATTAGTAGAAGGTAATCCACAACCTCTACTATCAAATGAAATTTTCTATAAAGAGGAGTAATCTACTCTCTTTAAAAAAAAGATTATTATTAGAAAAAAAGATTGTTTGTTTAAAAGTGGGTAGTCCACAACCTTCAAAACACAACAATAGAAGTGGAATAATTCACTCACTTCTAAAACAAGACAAAAACAATAAGTTAACATTCTTGTCAAAATATCAAAGATACAAATCTCGAAGAAAGAAATACTCAATACACTCTTGTGATATTGAAAAGAACTAAAAAGTCACTCAAAGATGATATATTATTGAACTAGAATATCTGTTGCCAAAAATAAAGAGACTAGAAAGTCTTGAAATAAGACTAAGGACTAGAAAGGCATTGAAAAGAGTGAAAAAGGCTTCATTCTTGCCTCTATATATACTCTTAATTAGGAACTATATGGTAATCTCCTATAAAACCTCCAAAACATTTTAACTTTGCAAGATATGTATCTTAACTTACAAGGCAAGTTTTCTATATGTATGCCACATTGTTAACTTGTTCCACAAGCTAATAATACGTGGTTAACTTGTTGACCAAGTTTCTAGCCTATCAATCAACTAAAAATACATATTAAGTCAAAGCAGCCTCTATGAAGCTTTTAAGAAGCTTCTCTAGAAGATATTATTAAATTAACATATTTTTATCTACTTTTATCTACTTCTATCTAATCATATAGATATTTATTAGAGTACGTATGTATATCCATGACAATAATAAGCTTAAGGCTCCTACAATTTGTTGCATAATTTTGAAAAACTCACTTGGAATTCCATATGGGACAATCTATGTTGGAATCCTAAGTCCTCAAGATTGATTTGCATCAAAATTTGGTATTCAAGTTTGCATGATGCATGTCTCCCACCTTGATTGATAGAGGATCAACATCAACAACTTTTGTATTATGGTCGCATGTTAATAGATCATTTAGAAAAAATCCCTCTCAAGGTCTCTACCTAACTTTATCAACTCACCAATTTGTTCCTTAAGGGTAGCTAACTATTTTGATAGGATATGGTTGGATTACTTACTTCCAACTAAGTATGCTACAATACCATGCTTTTGAAGGTGTAGGATCTCTTGCTTGATTAATTCATAGTCAACATTTATTGTCCAAACCTTTCTATATAACAAGAAGCTTTTGCTGTTTTTTGCATATCCTATTGGTAACAATTCGCCTTCTTTAGGAATGGTGGAATGAATTGATGCATGCTTGTATATATATATATGTATATATATGTATTACAGCCATGACCAATTTGGCTTCAATTGTATTTGCGTTGCAAATGCCTCTAAATCTCTCTCAGTTGTCTTTTGATTATATAAAGTTGATGGGAGCATAAATAAGCTTTGTGCCTGCAACTTCAAAAAACCAAGATGGCCAAAATATTAAAGAAAATACAAAGGAGGTGTGGGAATTGAAACTTAGTATTATTTTGTGATTCACCCAAGGATATAAATGGCAACAGAAACATATGAGATTAGAATGGAGACCAAGAAGGGCCACACATAAATTGTGAATCCCTCTAGTAGTATAAGAAACTAAAGTAAATAAAGGTGTGTGAGATTTGAAGGCCCCGTCCACACAAGTCTCCATTGAGCCCCCCCCCAAGGTACGCTCTGGCCTCGCTCTTGTACGCAGCAAGAAATCCTCGTCCAGCTTCGAGCCAGACACACACTCACACACACACAGACAGAGAGACAGATAGAAAGAAAGAAAGAAAGAGAGAAGAAGAAGAAGAAGAAGAAGAAATGGGTCTCCTGGTCCCGTGGCAGCTTTAAAGGTCACCTCCCTGTGGACCGGAGCCGAGTCGGAGCAGCGATCGACGACCATTAAATGCGATGGCAAAGCCTTCTCCAGGTTGGATGTGTAAACTGTCTTCTATTCTTCGCTACATTGAATGGTGTCGCCACTGATGACACTAGTAGTCTATTGCTAGCTAGGCTGCTGCTGCAGCTGATGTGAACTCCCTTCACACTCTTCCTTGTCACCGCCAGGCGTCTCGTCTCGTCTCGTTTCCTCCCTCACCGTCGCCGCTTCAGCTTCATTTCCTCGGTTCGCAGATGCTGAGAGGCGCTGGTTGTGGTGTCGCTCCTGCGCACGCACTTCCATGATCGATTGAGCAGTAGACATGGTGGACTGAGTAGAAATGGGCTCTCTTGGTAGTGACGCCGACTTTGCTCTCAAGCCGCGGCAGTAGTACCGTAGTCCCAGTGGGAGTAGTGGTGGTAGTGATAGTCGCAGTGGAGTTGCTGTGTCTTAGGAGGTGTGGTGTTGTGTGAAGATTAGCTCTGGCTTTTGAATCCGTCCGGGGGTTTGCGCTGTGCGTGAAAGAAAGTCACGGCGGGAAGGGGAAGAGAGCGAGGAAGCAAGAGCAGTTGGAGGTTCATTGTGGTACTTGCGGCAGTGTGAGATGGTGTTTGTTTAGTGGAGGTGTGTGTGTGTGTGAGAGAGAGAGAGAGAGAGAGAGAGGGATGGGATCCACGGTGGGTGCACAGGTTTCGAATGTGCAGACGAGGGTGAAGCGGGGGAAGATTGTAGACATCTCTGACTGCGGCCATGGGGAGGACGAGGAGGGGTGTAGAGGTGGGGAATGATGGGCCGCGCTCTAGCATGGATCGTCCGTACGTGGTGGTCGACCAGTTCAAATGTGCGTAGAAGCTAGTGAAGACTTGGGTATTGTTGCGCGATTCATTCTTGGTGAGGGACGAGGAGGAGGAGGAGGAAGGCCTGTGAGACGTGTGCCTGTGGGAGGAGGAGGAAGAGGAGTATTGTGGGAGGAGGAGGAAGAGGAGTATTGTGGGAGGAGGAGGAAGAGGAGTATTGTGGGGGCGATTGCTTGATTTTGGTATCGTGGGTAGAAATCCTCCGTGTTGAAGGCGAGAGATATGAATGTAAGTTTCGGTGGCGACGATTCTGCGAGGGTGGAGAGAGCTTCTTGCAGGAAGTGGTTGTGGTGGGGTTTCGTTAGGGGCGTTTCATTTGGAAGGGAAGGGCGAGGGATGAATGCAGAAGGTGAGAGTGCCAAGAATGGGCTGCTGTAGAAGTGGTAGTAAGTAGTCGAGCTGCGGAGGAGAGAGGAGCGGAGCAATTGTGAAGGACGGGGGAATTTATGGCCAGTCACGAGGACCAGGATTTGTCGACCAAGGCGCTGCACAAGCGCTATGAGGGGCTCGTGACTGTGCGCAGCAAGGCTGTCAAGGGGAAAGGGGCGTGGTACTGGACGCACTTGCTGCCTCTGTTGGTGCAGCACCCGGACACGGGATTACCAAAGGCAGTCAAGCTGCGATGCTCCTTGTGCAATGCGATGTTTTCTGCGTCCAATCCCTCCCGCACCGCTTCAGAGCATCTCAAGCGGGGTACTTGCCCCAATTTCAACGGCATGGTGCCCAAGCCGCTCCAGACACAGCAGCTCGGACCTCCCAAACCTGCTGTAACAGCTGCGACCCCTTCTCCGCCTGCGGTGACGCCGCGAAAAAGGACTGCTGCAACGTCGCTGGGGTCGCAATCAATCTCGACTGGCGATGCTACGGGTATGGAGCTCGCGCGGACGGGTGCGCCGGGGACACCCTTGCTATTATCGGGAGGCAAAGAGGATCTGGACGCGTTGGCATTGCTCGAGGACAGCGTCAAGAAGCTCAAGAGTCCGGGAATGAGGATTGGGGATTTCCAGGGCAGCGCTGGGCCGGACAAAGCGCAGGCGGAGGCGGCTCTCAACCTCCTGGCAGAATGGTTGTATGAGTCCTGTGGGAGCATCTCCTTCTCGTGTGTCGAGCATCCCAAGTTCAAAGCATTCCTGAGCGAACTGGGACTTCCCCCGGTTAGCCGGCGCTATCTCGCAGGCGCAAAGCTGGATGCTAAATTCGAAGAGGTAAAGCAAGCGTCTGAACTGAAGCTTCGAGAAGCCTTGTTTTTTCAGCTCGCTTCCGATGGATGGAAGAAGAAAACCACTGGAATGGGTGAGACGCTCATAAACATTACGCTCAATTTGCCGAACGGCAACTCCCTGTTTCGTAGCGTAGTCAACGTAAACACGGGCGCTGTTTCTGTGAAGCTCGTTGAGGAGACTCTTGCCGAGGCCATTACGTCAATTTGTGGACCGTCGCCGGAGCGCTGCGTTGGCATTGTCGCTGATGCCGACAGGTACAGTTTGAGCGCGTTGGAAGGATTGGAGTACCGGTTTCCACGAATGGTGAACCTGTGCTGTCAGGCTCAGGGCTTCAGCAATTTATTGAAAGACTTCACCAAGCATCTCCTGCTGTTTAGGTCGGTAGGAGCCGAATGCAGTAAGATCTCGGCATTCTTCAATAACCAACCTCAAGCCCGCACGTATTTGCACAAGTATCAGCGCGAGGTATATAAGCCCTCGAATTCTGAACGTCTGTTTCTCATACACCTTGATGATCTGTTTTGAAATGATTAAACTGATGTTACTACTCTGGTTTGCTACAGGAGTATAACAGCGTAAAACTTCTCCGAACTCCACCCGATTCCCAGTTTGCGGAGCCACATTATTCCCACGTGTTGGTAATGCTCGATGACATTACCGCATCTGCGCGCGCATTGCAACACACTGTGCTTGACGAGTCGTTCAATCCCCAATTCTCTGATGATCAGCTGGGGCGCGAAGTGGCGGACCTGGTTGGCAGCGTGCGGTTTTGGTCAGACTTGGAAGCCGTGCAAGACTTGGTGAAGATAATCAAGGAGATTGTTAACGACATCGAAGTTGACAGGCCCCTGGTGAGCCAATGTTTACCTCTCTGGGACGAGCTTCGAGCGAAGGTGAAGGACTGGTGTGCTCGTCACGATAAGGACGAAAGTTCTGTCTATCAGCTCATTGAGTCCCGGTTTGGCAAGAATTATCACCCCGCTTGGGCCGCAGCGCTCATCCTCGACCCCCTCTACCTCCTTCGTGACTCGAGCGGCAAGTACCTTCCCCCTTTCCGATGCCTGACGACAGAGCAGGAGAAGGACGTGGACCGCTTGATCACCAGACTGGTTGCACGAGAGGAAGCCCACATTGCTTTGATGGAACTCATGAAATGGCGCGCCGAGGGGCTGGATCCTCTCTACGCGCAAGCTGTGCAGGTGAAAGTGCGGGACATGCTAACCGGACGCATGAAAGCTGTGAATCCACAGAGTCGGCGCCTCGTGTGGGAGACTTGCCTGAGTGAGTACAAATCCTTGGGTAAAGTTGCCGTGAGATTGCTATTCTTGCACGCCACCAGCTGTGGGCTCAAGTGCAACTGGTCGATGTGGCGATGGGCGTATAGAAATGGCAATTCCCGGCTGGCCATTGAGAAAGCCGAGAAGATGATATTTATTGCCTCCCATGCGAAGTTGGAGCGCAGGGACTACACCAACGAAGAAGAGAAGGATGCAGAGCTTTTTATGAATGGCGACGGTGGCGAGGAGATCACTGTCGACGAGGTTTTCCTGAATACAACTTTGTAACATTTGTTGCTGGCCTCCCATTTAACATGTAGAAATAGACGATCAGTAGAGTAGGCTGAGAGTAGCCGATTTTTCAATCAACAATCTTCATGCTGCTGTGCTTATGTGTACATTTTGGCTCATGTTTTGATCTTTCAGTCTTCTGAATTGGGAGGGGAGGTTAGTATAAGCGTAGTGGGTAGCAAGAAAGGCTCTTCAGAAAGGTTTTAAAAGGCTTAGAATGACGCTGGACCCCGTGTAAGTGGGTCGAACCACTGTTGATTTTGGAAGGCAGAGGATACCAGGTGTGGTGCATGGAAACTTTCATCAACCTTTCTCGTAGTTCCTTTAGTGTTTTATTTTATTTTATTTTATTTTTTTGGTCCTCTTTAGTGGGGGTGGGCGGGGGACTCTGGTCATACGGCTCAGTAGAGGAATATTATTACCTGGTATAGGGCTCAGTTCAGGGAGAAGATTGACCCACCCCTTAGAAGATTGGCAATTTTGGTTCCGTGGAACGACCAATGTCAGGTACAGTAACAACACTTTCCCATTGCTAGTGGGGTGGGGTGGTTGCAAGCTATCAGGTGCTTGTTGTGCATATTACAGACGATTCATCAATCATAGACACGCATTCTTGTCACTGATTTACCATGGATCAGTTGTCATTCTCCATAACGTCACTGTTTAGCATGATGATTTTCAACCCACTAGTCTACCATTTCTGACCAATCACTCCCTATACTGAACAGTGCAGAGAAACTCCTCATGTTCAACATGTTCCGTCCGCACCACTTATCAGTTGTCATCAGTTCTCTTGAATAATGTAACGTAAATCAGATTGTTTGAATATGACAACTTAAAACCTATTTTCTTCTTCTTTTTTTGATTATAGTTTTTAATTACAATTGGTATTGAGCACCGAAACGAGAATCAGTGCATGTACAAAATTTCAGAGCTCTTCAGCTCAGAATCTAGATCCAAAGTATCTTATCTGCTCAGGAGTTTATCTTTTGTAGCAGCAACATTGCAGCAACTCTGGGGTTCCCTGCGGAAATCCTGACGAATGCATTCAGACTCCCGAGTTGTTGATCAATAATCCGTTACTGGAGCAGTTGAGATGGTCGGTCAACTCAGGGGGCGCATTGATGCAAACATTCTGGACTGCGAGAATGAATTCAATGCTGAATTGTCCGCTTCTGCTTTGCAATGATCATGAAAGCACTAGCGACGTTCCAGCTGCCTATAATGCAAGTCTATTTCGTAAAGATGAGGCTATGTCAGAGTAGGTACTGTATAATTTTCTGGTTGACAAGATAGCTACGTCGTCACAATTAGGGACTTTACGTGCAGAGTACGACAGTCCTGGGATGATGCTTTTCGGTTTGAACTTCTAAACATCCATGGCATAACGGATTAAGTGAAATTTATGCGAATTAAACTTTACCAGACGGTGCAAGGCAAGCTGATTGCAATAAGAGACTGCTGCTAGTCGCGCAGATTCAAGGGGAGATTCTCAAGTGTGGGAGGTTTCATGGTTCGGTCAGATTCTGACTGATGACGTACTAGGGAAGCAGGGCAACAACTGGGTAGCAACTTATGGAGAAGGACAACCTGGGACTGAACTGATCTGGGGCAGATGAAACGACTGACGCAGTGATGACATTAAAAAGTCAAGTCAAATCTTCAAGTTCCTGAATCAGTTCCCCGCTTAAGGCAGACGCAGAGGCTTTAATAAGTGAGCCAGCAGGGAGTCGGGGTACGAAAGATTGCAAAGTGATTCATTTGCCTTGCAATTTGTGTGTACATCTGCAAGCTAAGGTCCTTCATCCAGCTAGTCTTGACTCCTGCCCATGGTTGCCCTGTCCTTGCATTTAGATTCCAGACTTCAAATTAAAGATTTGTTTTTCCTCTGGCCTTCTTCCAGAACAACCCCCCCACCCCTCCCACCCCCTCCCAGAGCAACGGTCAGACATTGGGGGTGCCCTTAACCCTTCTATCATTTGGTTCCTCTCTGCTGGTGCGTTGTTCTTGACTGAGGACGGTCAATTTCTAGACCAGGTCAGTCGCCCGAATGGCACTAAATTGCACATCATTATTCATGTCAGCCTAGTTTCAATTTGCGCTTTTTCCCTGGTATTATGTTTTGAACCCAATATATTGAATTACTCATGATATAATATTAACTAACCAACGCGGTTCACGCCCGAATCACTATTTCACCCACTCACGGATTAAACCCGGACAGAGGGGTATCTCTAACTCCTGCTTAAGAGGAGCAAGTGACATCATCGTGTCCAGTGCTTCCCCTCGTTCGCTGATCCACGCGCGTTTTTTTGTGGTTTGACTGAATAAAATGGGGTTGTGGACTTTGATTCTCGGTTACTTGTTCTGGTTAATAAGCTCACAGCGATCATTCACAATGTAATACCTTTACATTATTGAGTAAAAAAAGGTTTCAAATTACCAGGACTACCACATTAGCACATAGAGGGTTTACTATTCAATTTAAATAAATAAACTAAACTGAATCCAGAATCCAGAATCCAATGGAAGATATGTTGCCCTGACTTGTCTAGATTCCCAATCCTAGAACAAGCAAAACGGTACCCACATAAGTTAGTAAGTAGTGTGCAAGGTTGGAACCCTATTAATAATAGATGCGGCAATTCTTCAAAAAGGTCTCAGTATTTCTTTACGATTTCTTCGACATTGGAACTATCGCAAAATAATGTGGTTGGTTTTTGTGTTGGGGTGGATTTTTTTAGAGTGCTCTAGTAAAAACGTGGGTTAGTGGCATATTCTAAAGTTGAGAATATATAGACGTTTTAGGCCTGTCTATTTATCATTCACATGGAATCAAGGACATCTAAATGTTTTTTTAAAATTGATTCTGAAGTTTTGTGCATTTTTTTAGCTTCAAAAGTGTAAGATTGTTATCAAAAGTTTTTTTTTTTTAAAACGAGGTTTTTTAATTTCGTTTTCTTAAAGTTGTTCAATCATTATCATAAATACTTTGTGTTTCTCATGTTGACGTTTCTTAGAGCTAGTTATTGCATATTTTTGTAAAATTTCATTCTAATGTATTTCTTAAAATAACAAAAGAATATTTTTCTTCATCTAGAAAGTGATCAAATTTAGCAACTTTATGAACTATATAGTTATGCTTTTCAATAATTCATGGTCTTTCTAAATAATCAAAATTATTGACACGAAAATATAAAAAATGTGACATTCAATATTTTGACATTTATACATAATCATTGCTAGCCTGTATGCTTCACAACTATGTGATTATACACTTTTTCTACATCTTAAGACTCAATAAACATTAAATCATTGTTCATTTTATGTTTTTAAAAAAAATACCGACATTTCTTTTCAACCTTACTGAAAAAAACAGTAACATTTTTATGTATATATTGCACCTTAATGATAAAATGACCATTAAAAAACCAACTCAATATATATATTTTTTATCTCAAATTAATTGATGTTAATTGTTTTTTTTATCAACTTTGGATTTTGGAAAAATATATATTGTCATATTCACTTCCACAGGTGTTACTTTTGTATAACTTTTCTTTTAACAATGTAATATCATTAACTATTATATACAAAGATGTGCATAATATCAAACATTTATTAAGTCATGCAATACAAGGTTATATTATTTTAAAAACAACAAGGACTGATTGCTTCGAATTCCAACATTAAATGATTGCATTCTTGAAGTCTATTAAAATTGATAAATCCTTGTAGCATCTTAAAAGAATTACAAAGCAAACTATAATGTGGGTATATATATATATATATATATATATATATATTTGAATTTTTTAATAGATTTTTTTTTCTCTTTTTTCATATAGAAATTAATCATTTCCAATTGTTATTAATTCATTATTATTAAAACAAATAATGCAATAAAGAAGAGGTAAAAGCTATCACATTAAAAAAAAAACCAAAAAACCAAAAAACCAAAAAACCAAAAAAAACCAAAAAAACCAAAAAAAAACCAAAAAAACCCAAAAAACCATAGTTTGTCAAAAGTGACAATCAATTCAATTAATACATTGATTTCATGAAGTTTGATCCAATTCTTTACTTTCAGTTAGCAAATTTTTAGAATTAGATTTTTTTAACCCTCTCAATATTATTCTAAACTACAATGTAATTGAGCAGATTTCATACTTATTATACATCATATTAATTTTAATGATAAAATCTAAGCAACAATCTCACACATCTTTGCTCAAAAAAATGAAAAAAATGAAAAAATCAGTCCTCAAAGTCTAAATGCGACTTTAAAAAACTTCACAATTTTCAAATAAATGTATGTTAAAGGACTAAAATAAAAAATAAAACAAATAAAATCCCCAAGAGTAATAAAAAAAAAAAAAAAAAAAAAAAAATAGAAAGAAACAATAACAAGAATAATAATGATAATAATATCCTACATTATTTGTCAAGTATGAGCACCAAAAACATTGATCTCATTTAAGACAGCACGTTGGGTGAAACCACATCAATCAAATAAACAAAGCAACCCTAAACCTAGACTTACTAAATCTTCAAAGAACGAAGTACACGTGGCATCCAAGCTGGCATGGTCTACGGCGTCGGCGGCGAATGAAGTCACGCTGCGATGCTGCAGCGCAGCCCAGCCCCAGCCCAGAACCAGGCAGCGTGAAATCCACAAGGTCAATCAACATGCCTCCTCCTCCGCCTCCTCCTCATGCACACAACTTTGCAACGTGCCCACCACAATCGCAACGGAGCCATGCATGCATGCAAGCGCACGCAAAGCATAGCAAAGGAACGCAAAGCAAGCTCGCGCTCATGCATCGTCATGCGCAGTTTGTATGTCAGCCCTTCCGCAGCTTATTTCTTGGTGCTCTCATTGTTACTCTGAGGTGCATCGTAATGCATGCGCTCGCATTTGTTGGCGTTGACGGACGATCCGTCCCACACCCAGAAAGCCCCAATTTCGAGTCACTGGTGGTGTCTCTCCACCCAACAAGAAAGAAATTACTTTGTTGCTCCTTTGTTTGATAATTCAGAGGTGACATTCATTCACGGGGAGTTTTTCTGGTGAACCCCATTTGTGGAGGTGATTGACAGTACTCGCCTGCTCGGGTGGTAAATGATTCCTCCTCGACCTTGAAGGCAGGGGGGGGTAACACGATGCTGAATCCCCATGTCAGCAGAGATGAATCAGTTTTACCCGCAGCTGATGGAGCCAGGTCGCAGCAGAAGCCATTGTCGGCGCATGCGTATGATGGATGGTGCTGGGTTCCGTTTGCCTGGTTCGCACAATAATTGGTGCTGGCTTTCCCCAGATGAATGAATTGCTGCTGGAGGTGTCAGAGGGACCTCCAGCTGGTAAGATTCGTGATTAAGACAGTGTGAACAGGTTTCTTATACCATGGGAATCGTGATCGGAGTCGGCTTGAAGCGGCTGTGGATGTTTCATATGGATTAGCGCAAGCATCCTGCTGTCAGACGTGCCTTTGAATCAAATGGAGATTCACTTGCCCCTCTCTAGACTTCGTCTCGCAGTAGGGTTTCGAGTCCACTTTTCATGAATTTATATAATTGATCGCGAGCTACGCCGGTAATAGGTGGCGAGCTGCCTGGAGCGGCAAAGAATGTGTACAGTGCATGAGTAGGGCGTACGAGAGGCTTTAGGCGAATAGCTTTGCGTTGATTCATTCTGCCGCCTGGGTGGTTATAAGAACGCCACTAAGAGACAGTTTCCACACTTCGTGGCAAGCGATGTCGCTGAAAGACTGTTCCTGACACAGCTTCTTGTTCCAAATCACTCTATCCCAATTATGCATTTTTGAGGTAGATTAGCAGAAATAGGTAAAGGGCTTCAATATACCTGCCACATACATTTATACTTAGAAAACAAAAAAATAATAATGTTTTGAAATCTTATTGCTATGTCGTACTTGCGGTGAAAGATTGTGCCAAGGATCATCATAAAATTGATTGTTCTAGCAGTGGTGCGGGATCACAAGGGAGGGCCTTGTTTTTTAACTTAACAACCACTCATCGTGAGTCAAGATGGTCGCTTATGGACATTGTTGGTAAGTTAGAAATAAGGCACTTCCCTGAAGTGGGTAGGCTCATCAGGTTAGGGAGACTATTTTGCTGTCAATTTCCCGTTACCAAATGCAGGGAAAAGCGCAATTAGATGGAACTCTTCATCAACAACCGAAAAGAAAACAAACCACCACGTCTACCGAGCATGCCTGCTAGCTGACGCCACTGATGGAATACCTAGTAAACCAACACCTCAGTAGAACGGAAGCTAGGGACAGTGGAAAACGAATGACGTAGTACTGAAATCCAATTGTCTTTTCGAAACCAAAGTTTCTGTAAGACTATTTGTTTTTTGTTTTTTGTTTTCTTCCTAATAACTCGATCAGAAGTTCATCTTAAAAGAGCAGGGAAGCATAAGAAAACCTGTACAGCAACTGTGTGGTGCCCATAGACCCATTGTAGATAGGCAATGTAGTACCATCTGCTCACAGCAGGTCAGACTACCGGTACTCCCAGCAGAACGTTATCAAGAACAAATTCTCTCAACATAGGACTACTACAGAGTGACTCCGCAGAGGGCATTCAATATGCAGTTCCAAACATTGCCCAATCACGTTATCTGTACCTGCATACATGTTCATGATCTTACACATTTCATTTCGTATTCTGAATGCTCTGCTGGGAGACTTCAACCTGTTATGTCGGCGACTACAGCGCATAAAGAATGCAAAATGAAAAAAGTATGATATCACGGCAGGATGCCAAATGGATTCACAGATCCACATACCATGGTGGATAAATGGAGACATGATAACCAAGGTAAGTATCCCTAATTTCGGTGAACATTAAAATATTCTTTACAACGATGAGTGGTTTCTGTACTCCTTTAACGGACGATGGAGGGAGTGAGGCTATTAAAAAGCACTCTCCAGCAACGAAAGAAAGCCACAAAACTTGACTTAAAGCATCTTAATTGGAGTGGAAAAGTTCATCTGCACGTTGTCTACCTTCAACCAACTTACAAGGAAGAATGGACGTATCCCAGTTTACGTTCTTGACTAAAGCAACAAACGTACTGAAAAAGAGAAAAATCAGATCATGACACATTATTAAACTTTTGCAGCATTTGCTTCATCTTTGCTTGGTTATCAAATGCAAATCCCGAAAATTCGGCAATCCCACTATAGCATTCGACGCCCCAAGTCCATTCACTTTACCTGTGACTGAGCTGATGCTGTGTAAAGCGTTTTCAAGTTCCGTGCGAAATTGTGGGCCTCCCATAATCACTCCAAGATCCAGGATTTTTAGAGCTTCTATGGGCCGGTTAGCATTGTGATGGCAAGACGCCAAGGACAAGCAGGAGAGAGAGAAGGCATCACGCCACACCAGAGACACACTCTGCCAAGGTGCTCCATGTAACTCCTCCCACGCCAATTCATATGCAGCTTCTGCGGCCCTCTCGTCGGCGCCACCCCAGGCCTTCTCTGCCAGCCCCGCAAACATCACGCCTCCTTCATTGTGCACCTGCAACAAGTAATCAACACACGCTGTGTAAGCACCTCCATGTCGTCCATCCCAAAACATCCTCTAAACAGCATCCTTGCACAGTTCTAGTCACGCTGACTAATTATGGTGTTTCAAGCGAGTGCACGCGCGCTTCAAAACTGTGAACATTCCACTGATGTTAGACTTGCTAATTTGTACGATCAAACAATACACCGGATCTATAAAGTGGGTTTATGCGTTAAGGAATTATCTACCATTTAAACCATGAGTGCTCCACAAGTATTGCAGAACCGCAACTCCAATATAAGAATACAGTTGAAAGATCCGAAAATTTTGCATAATTTTTATCCTAAATGCAAATTATTCCCCCACATAAGCACGACCTTGCTCACAACATCGACGAAGTTGAAACAAACAACCAGAAACTGCATCGGTATAATTACTCGAAAACTAAACATCACAAAATCACGCAAAACCACAAACCACCAGCCATAACCGGGAGGCTCCCAGGCAATGACTATTAGCTCATCGCCAACGCACCTGGTTCAGAAACTCGATCATCTGCGACCTCGCAATTGATGGCATGGACAATAACTTGACGAAGCTCGCCCCACGTCCCAGTCAACAATCACCGATTCTATCCCCTAAATGCAGCTTTTACGAATGCAGTATCCCCGTCGCAGGCATTCATGCCAAACCGCACAAAGAAGGGGCACCGACATAGCATGAGCAAATCAACGAAGTACCCAAAGCTAGTGCCTCTCCCTACAATTGGCTCAACACAATCCCGATCGACTGACTGACTACTGCTGCTGCTGCTACTACTTCAAGAGAACAAAGTCGCCCCAGTGGTACCTGCGATTTGCCCAAGTGGAGGGGAAAAGCTGAAGTGAGACAAAGTGTGACGCCAGTGAATGGTGGATTCCGCCATCTCAGAGATATAAATCTGGAAAATAGAAACGCGTGGTCTCCCCGCTCCATCAGAAGTTGAAATCGCTCCCAGATCGCATTAATATCTTCGCTGCCTAGAAAGGATATCAAGTGGGCTATCAACTGCAAGTTGCGTGCAGACGCGATCTCTTTTTCCAGCATCCGAAGTGGACAACCCCCCCCACCCTGCATATTTGCATCCGAGAACCGTCATCCTGGCGGAGTAGAGCAGGAGCAGGAATTTCACCCTCCCTCGCTCTACTGCCCATGCATGCGATCTCGCTTTCTCTCTCTCGCTCGCTCGCAGATGAGCAGCGCGGCCAAGCTGCGACGCTGGCGCGGGGACAGGGTTGGGATGGGGTCGCAGCGGCGCTGGAAGGGAGTGGAATCCTCCCCGAAGTCGCGACGTCGCGACTTCCTTGCCATGCCTTTCCTTTCCTCTCCTTCGGCGTCCGTTGTTTCCAGAAGATCTTATGCAATAGTGAAGATTATGTTCACGATTCTTTTGTATTTGTGTGTGGTTGAAGATCCTGTTTTAATTATTTTTTATTTTTTATTCTTGGCAAAGAATAATACCAATAGATATTGTTTGCATAACATTGCAACATTAACATAGTAAAAAAAGTTTTTGGAAAAAATAAGAAGAGATGTTAATTAATTATTAAACATTGTAAATATAATATTTAATATAAATAGTAATATAAATTTTTAATTAAAATCAATAAACTAGTTTTAAAAAAACATATAGAAATAAAAAAATATTTACTTTTAGAATAAGTTTTAATTTAATAAATGCATAAGAGTAATGATAAAGACTTCTTGATTTAATACAGGCGTGATATATTGAAAATTGTTAAATTGACCCGAGTTTTTCCAAAATTTATCCATCTATCCTAATCATTGTCGAAAAATTCTCCAATGCTAGATCTGCATTGCTCAAAAACCAATAAAAAAAAAGGTTGGATCCTTAAAATGATTGGATCAAATTAACAATTTATTATATATGCACACAGACACACACACACACACACACACATATATATATATATATATATATTTTTTCTTTTAAAAAATTTAAGAAGTGTTTATTTTTAAAAATTCAAAGAAGAAAAGATATTTTAAAATTGATTTTGAATCTAAATTTTTTATTAAAAAAATTGATGTCATATTTGTATAACCATAAAACATATTGGCTCCTAAAAAAGATTTATTTAAAATATAATCAAATATGGTAACTTATTTTTTATATGTTAACTAATTTATAGGTACTTGAAAGTTAGCATAAATAAGTTACCATATTTGATTATATGTTAGAACTATATATATTTAGATATATATATATATATACATACCATAAATAAGTTACCCTATTTAAAAGTTGAATTTATAGGCACTTGAAAGTTGTAGAATATTGTTAGGGACATAATCCTTAGAACCTTCTAGAGACAAGTTTCTAGAACCTTCTAGAAGCTTCTTAGTTGGTAGAAGATGTTAGGGACATAGTCCTTAGAACCTTCTAGAAGCAAGTCTCTGGAACCTTCTAGAAGCTTCTTAGTTGATAGAAGTTGCTTGAAAAGCTTCCTAAATAGGAGTATATATTAGAATCGAGGCTGAAGAGTTCTTCAGTCTCGACAACACATCTCTTGGAGCTTTAGCTCACCTCTCTAGTGTTGTTCTCATCTAATTAATCTAATTCTTGCCAGTTCTTCTTGAACTTCTTGTTAGATCTCGAGCCTGTATTTCTGTGTCCGTGACAGTTTGTCGAGACTTCACTCACCTCAGATATCAGAGTTAGTTTCTTCTTTGTTAGAGTGTGGATTATCCCTCTGCTTGGAAGTGTACTAACACTTTAGAGGTTGCGGATTACCCTCCTCTAAACTGATACTTCTTTTGTTACAATATTGGAGTCTTATTCTTCTTGGAGAGAGTGGATTACCCCTTTTCTTGAAGCTCTTAAGGCATTTTAGAGGTTGCGGAGTACCCTCCTCTAAACCAATATTGTCTTCTTGTAGATTCATTTCTGTCCTTCTCTTAGAATGGCCGGGGGCCAAGACATTAGTATGACGAAAAGTTCGGAGTCCAAGTTGGATGCTATCATAAATGCCCTCGCTACGTTATCACAAAGAACTGCAGAGATTGAAGGAGTCGTGGCAAGGCTTCATAATGATGGAGCATCTGGGATGGCACAATCTAGGTTGCACCAGCCTCAAACTTCTGCACTTGGAGAAGCAACTTTTCCTCAGGTTCGATAAGCACCGCTGGTTCTACAACATAAAGAGCCCCGAGTTAGTCTTCCGGACAAGTTCGATGGTACACGTTCCAAGTTTCGAGGATTCGTCAACCAAATCAGGTTGATAACAGTTTTACAGCCCGAACGCTATCCAAAGGAGGAGTCATGTGTTGGACTTGTTGGAACCTTACTTACAGAACAAGCTCTATCATGGTTTGCTCCTTTGTTTGAGAAACGATCATCCATACTAAACAACTTTGAAACCTTTTTGGAGGCGTTTGCGGAAGCATTTGGTGAACACAACAAGGTTCGATGGGCTACAATAAAGATCCGGTCACTACGACAAGGGATGCACTCTACATCAGTCTATGCATCGAACTTCAGGCAATTAGCATGCCATATCAATTGGGACGAAGAAGCATTGATGAGTCAATTCTATTGGGGTTTAAGGAACGATGTGAAGGATTTGCTGTTAACTCTTCTTGATCAGTAAACGCTCAACGAAGCTATTAGCCAAGCTGTGAAGTACGATAACCGCCTATTTCAACGCCGCCAAGACCAACGTTCAAGACAACATACGGTTTGTCACGCCCCAACTATATCGACAAGCAACATGAATTCACATTTATATGTAGAAGACATGCAAATTGATGCGATACGTGTCAAATCTCTTACTCTAGAAGAAAAAAAGCGACGTATGGAGGAAGGTCTATGTTTGTATTGCGGTGAAGAAGGCCACAAAGTTGGAAACTGCCCCAAGAAGCAAAATCGACGTATTGTCAAGACTAGGGGCACGTTTATTCAGGAAAACGAGGATGCCCAGCTACAATAGGAACCGTGCGGCTGGACAGTGAAATATCGCAACAACAACCAGGTTCCTTTCTTTCTGCTCAATCTGCCCTTTGTTTTACAATCCCTTTGCTTATTGGCCCTCAAAAACTGAGAACCTTAGCATTATTAGATTCAGGAGCATCTGCTTATTTCTTAGACGAACAATTTGCGAAGCATCATAAGATCCCTTTAGTACAAAAATCCAAACCTATTCACGTTGAGGTCATAGATGGGCGACTTTTATTGTCTGGTAGTGTCACCGATGAATCAAAACATGTAGAAGTGACGTTTAAGGGCCATAGTAGTCATATTATTTTCAATATTATTAGAACACCATCAAATCCTGTTATTCTTGGTCTTTCTTGGTTGAAAAAGCATAACCCATTCATAGATTGGAAGTTGTGGAAGATGACCTTTTCCACAAAACCACCCAAGAGCAAGCCTAGTAGAAAACCCCGAATAGAGAAATCCTTATTTATTAGAGCAAGAGCATTTATAAGATCGTTCAAGAAAGGCACACCGTTTGTTATTTATGCGGCTCCAACTACCGGGAAGAAGATCTCGACAGCAAGTATACCGGAGCAATATAAGGATTTTAAAGACGTGTTTCAAAAGAAAAATGCCGACATGCTACCAGAATACAGACCATATGATTGCGCCATAGACTTACAAGAAGGAGCACAACCACCTTTTGGCCCAATCTACAATCTATCGCAGACGGAGTTGGCAGAGTTGCGAAAGTACATCGATGAGAATCTATCTAAGAACTTCATCTATCATTCAAAATCATCAACTAGAGCACCCATCTTATTTGTGAAGAAGAAAGATGGCTCATTGCGGATGTGCGTGGACTATCGAGGCCTCAACAAGGTAACAAAGAAGAATCGTTACCCGTTATCCTTGATTTCTGGTCTCTTAGAACAACTTGGACGTGCAAGGATCTTTACAAAAATTGATCTAAGGGTAGCTTACAACCTCGTACGAATCAAGGAAGGAGATGAGTGGAAGATAGCATTCCGTACAAGGTATGGCCATTTTGAGTATAATGTCATGCCCTTTGGTCTTACCAATGCTCTAGCGGTCTTTCAACATATGATGAATGACATTTTTCGAGAGTACCTTGATGATTTTGTTATCATCTATTTGGATGATATTCTGATATTCTCCAAAAATGAGGAAGAGCATGAAAAGCACGTTCGTTTGGTCTTGAAAAAACTACGCGAGCGAGGACTATATGCTAAGTTGAAGAAGTGTTTATTTCACCAAATAGAGATGGAGTTTTTGGGGTTCGTTGCGACTACGGAAGGCTTGAAGATGGACACCAAGAAGGTGGAAGCAATCGTGTCCTGGGAGGTTCTGAAGATGGTGAGAGACATACAATGTTTTCTTGGCTTTGCCAACTTCTATTGGATCTTCATCAAGAATTACTCTCAAGTTGCTGCTTCTCTCACTCGATTGACATGCAAGGATAAGCTGAAATGGGGACCTCTAGCGGAGAAGGCGTTTCAAGAACTGAAGACCGCATTTACTATGGCTCCAATCTTGGTACATCCAGACTTTACAAAGGCCTTTTATTTAGAAACTGATGCTTCGGATTTTGCTTTGAGAGCTGTACTTTCACAAATGGGAGAAGACAAGAAGCTCCATCCAGTTGCATTCTATTCTCGAAAGTTCTCTATTATTGAAATCAATTATAAGATCCACGATAAGGAACTTCTTGCTATAGTGGATTCTTTCCAAGAATGGCGCCATTTTCTTGAAAGAGCTGCACACCCAGTAACCGTATACACAGATCACAAGAATTTGGAGTATTTCATGTCGGCTCGAGTTCTAAATCGACGTCAAGCTCGGTGGAGTATGTTGCTATCTAGGTTCGATTTTGTTATCACTTATCGACCTAGAAAGGAGCAAGGAGTATCTGATGCCTTATCGAGGAGATCATATCTTGTACCAAAGGCTGAAGAAGCAGCGTTTGATCAACAATGTATGACGTTGTTAAAGCTAGAGCAATTTCGGCTTTGTGCTACTATTGTACCAATTGATGCTGACTTCTTGAATCAGGTACGTGCCGCGACCATTAAAGATTCAGTAGCCATTGATATCAAGCAACGTGCCAATGACGACAAATTCAAAGTGGAGGGAGATCTTTTATACTTTGAGGAGTAGTTGTATATCCCAAAAGAATCAGCATGACTCCGAGTTCTTCAATCTCGCCACGATTTTCCAACTGCGGCACATTTTGGATTCAATAAGACCTTGGAGCTTATTTCTTGAGATTTTTGGTGGCCCCAAATGTGGAAGGATGTGAAAGATTTTGTCCTCTCCTACAACATCTGTTCAAGATCCAAGAATCCTCGGCATCGCCCTTATGGACTCCTACAGCCATTGCCGATTCCACATCGACCATGGTCTTTAATTTCCATGGACTTCATCAGGGACCTTCTATCATCGAACTCATTTGATAGCATCTTTGTCGTGGCAGATTGGCTTACAAAGATGCCACACTTTGTTCCTTGCAAGAAGACATCATCCAGTGAAGTCACAGCAAGGCTCTTTCTCGATAATGTGTATCGATATCATGGACTACCAGATGATATCGTATTAGATCAAGGAACCCTGTTCGTATCAAAGTTTTGGAGATCTCTCTTTGAGATACTGAAGGTGGATATCAAGCTTTCTTTGGCTTTTCATCCTCAAATTGACAGCCAAATGGAACGGATGAACCAAGTCTTGGAACAATACTTACGATGCAGCATCAACTATCAGCAAGACGATTGGACCACATATCTGCTGCTAGCCGAGTTTGCATATAACAAAACCCTCCATGCGTCGACTCAATACACACCATTCTTTTCCAACTATGGGTATCATTCGAAGCTTGATTTATTGAGTCCATCAACAAATAACAATCCAGTAGCTGAAGGATTTGCGAAACAACTATCAAAGCTTCAAAATACATTGAAGCTTCAATTACAATCCGCTCAAGAATCCTATAAGGCGTCTGCAAATAGATTTCGGAATCAAGCACCTACTTTCAAAATTGGAGATAAAACATGGCTTCTTCGACGAAATATCAAGACCAAGCGATCATGTGATAAGTTGGACTATTGAAGATTGGGACCATTTATCATCCAGAAGCAAATCAATCCAGCGGCGTATCGTCTGGAATTACCGGCTTCTATGAAGGTACATCTAGTCTTTCATGTTTCTCTATTAGAGCCTTATCGAGAGTTATCTTTTCCTGAAAGAGTACAATGTCTGCTACCTAGTATTGAGATCGAGAACCACGAGGAATACGAGGTTGAAAAGATACTGGATTCACGGCAAAGGTGGGGTAAGTTGGAGTATCTTGTTTATTGGTGCGGCTACGACATTAATGAGCGAACGTGGGAGCCAGCTGAAAATCTCGCCAATGCGCCATAAAAGGTAAAGGAGTTTCATCAACAACATCTTTATAAACCTAAGCCGATTCGACGATAGCTTCCTTCTGAAGCTTGCTCACCCAAGAATATAAGAAAGGGGGAGAGCACCACCAAAATTCGTAGTTGATGTAGTTATTTTCTCCAAGATAAAATAGAATTTTTTCAGCAGCCATAGTTTGGTCTTCTGATATGGATAGCCAAGAGATAGATACTATGCCAGTCAGATTATCTCAACCGACTAGCTCATGAAGGCGACCCCGAGATGAAGAACTGCCTACACCACGATGACGATAGAGGATACCGAGTAACCGATCACTGGTGATTGTATTTGAGTCTGAGCCTGCTTACGATGGTCAGCCAAAAGGCATGTTTCCAGGAAAATTTCACAATGAGGACACGGAAATTCATGCTTGGTCAGAAGTTGAAGGAGTGGGCCACTACTGTTGGCTTCAAGGGCCGATGAACCACTTGCCTCATGAACAACAGTTGGAGTTCATAGTAGATGTTATGCGACAGATCTTCATTTTCTTGCGTTGGTACTGATTAACAACAACATTGCTTCTTAGAGACCTCGAAGCTAAAGGAGGGGGTGATGTTAGGGACATAATCCTCAGAACCTTTTAGAGACAAGTTTCTAGAACCTTCTAGAAGCAAGTCTCTGGAACCTTCTAGAAGCTTCTTAGTTGATAGAAGATGTTAGAGACATACTCCTTAGAACCTTCTACAGATAAGTTTCTAGAACCTTCTAGAAGCAAGTCTCTGGAACCTTCTAGAAGCTTCTTAGTTAGTAGAAGTTGCTTGAGAAGCTTCCTAAATAGGAGTATATATTGGAATCGAGGATGAAGAGTTCTTCAGTCTCGACAACACATCTCTTCGAGCTTTAGCTCACCTCTCTGGTATTGTTCTCATCTGATTAATTTAGTTCTTGCCAGTTCTTCTTGAACTTCTTGTTAGATCTGGAGCCTGTATTTCTGTATTCGTGACAAATATATTATGTTGTTGTTGTTGTTTTTTTTATTATCAAATATATATATATATATATATATATATATATATATACATACATACATATATACATACATACATACAAAAAAAAAATTAGATAACATTTTTATCATGCTATCTAGTTAAAACCTCAATAATCACCCAATATTTGTATTTCTTTTTTTCCTCATGAAAGTATATATTTTACAATATAAGATGTAAAATATTTATTTTAAAAAAATATACAGAATAACATATATATTTTTAATATTTGTATTCAAGTTATTGTATTAGAATATTCACATGCACAAAAAATACATTCTAACATATACATAATGAATTTCTGCAAATATATAATTTTTAAATTTTATATTACTTCCCTTTAGCTTTTTAGAATCAGGAATACGAATCAAAATTTATATTTTTAAAAGAAATTTTTTATTTTTATATTATTTTTATTTTTTAATAAATATAAATATTAGATATTTTATTTGAGAAAAATATTTATTTTAAATAGAAAATATACTAAAATATTATCTATAAGTATATTAAAACATATTAGTTGTAATATAGATTATTTAATAAAATTGAAGATATTATTTTCTTAAAACCTAGCCATAATTTCTTTAAGTGAAATGATTTCAAATATAACGTACACGTATATATATGTATATATATATACATATATGAAAATACTAGAGTAATTTGTTTATAAAGTCACAGATTTCTAATCGAAGTACATGTGACAAGCCGTTTCTGGTCACCGTCGACAATTCCATTTCAGAATGTGCTCCCAACAACGACACATTCTGCAACAGAATCAGCCTCCCCTTGCCCGACGCACGAACGCACGAACGCACCTTTAAACTTTCTTCATGAGACGAGCTTATTTCCTCACTCAATTTTCGGCTCGGTGTTCTGACTGCAATGCGATGAGGACGCGCGAGTAGATCTGTTGTCATGCTCCCAGCCCAAGCTATCGATCTGTTTCTACGCCTTTAATCGTCTTTTTACAGTTTGCTTTGGGATGAGCACTTGCAATTTCAGGAACAAGTGGACCTTGTCTTGAAGGGGAGCTTCTTTCGGGTAGCTTGGTGTTGTCAAATTGGTGTTGCGAATCGAGGAGATGGAGAGCCAGGTACCAAAGAGGCAGCCATTGAAGAAATGGAATCCGAAGTGGAAAGATAAGGTACTTGAATCAGTCATTTTGTTTGCTGTCCCGGGTTGTCATGGTTTCGACGGATGGTTGATGGGTTAAGAGTGAGGGGTTTAGGTTTTAGGTGAGAGAGCCGTGTGGGATGTTTAATGTTGGAAAGGTGCAGTGTGTCTGATTCTCGAGCTGGCTGCCTCCTGCTTACATTCTAAAGTGCAATGCATTGCATGTTTTCGGGTGAATGTGTGTCTAAAGTGGTCGCGCTTAAGTCCATTATTCAAGCATTTAATAATTAGGATAATGTGATCTTTGCTCTTGAGTTTGACAGTTGAAGGAGTTGTGCCTTCAAAGAGTGCGGGATGGTCGCACCCAGATGCTATGGAGAATTCGGAACAGTCCTCTTCCTGTGTCTGGAGAGAGTGCTCATGATAACAAGGTAGTTTGTCGCAATTAAGGGCTTGATGATTTTCCAGATCTACCCCCCCCCCCCCCGCTCCGATTCTCTTGCTTACTATTGAATCCAATCGAGCAAGTGGGTCTAGTTCATTTAGAGAAAAACACCAAGATTTCTGTTAGTCTTGAAGAATTTCTGAATATGCATCTCAATATAAGGTGTCAAAATTCTTTTCCAAATTTTGCATCCGTCTTCATCTTGCCTATGTTACCGGTATGGAGAATTACATCACCGACTGCCAGCTGTATGTTGTTGGTGTTGTCCTTTAGTATATGGAGTCCACATTCAGAAATATTGTAACCGATGAACTCAAGAGAGTGCGTCAAACCTCTACAAATTCAGCCAAGAACGACACACGCAGAGCCTCGGAAAAGGAAGACTCCGACATGTTGTGGGAGTACGAGGCTCCAGCGGAACTAGCTAATGAGGATTATGTCGAGCTCATGCTCGCTATGGAACGAGCTTTGTATGATGACATGCAGGCTGAGTTGCGGGCCCAAGGTACCACTATTGATTATGCTCTTGTTCTCCATGTCCTGCTTTAGATACCTTTACTATTCCACAAAAATGTATATTGCAGTCTTTAAAAGTCTTTAAAGCAAGAAAATGAAACATCAGAGGTCTTCTTAGGCGCTTGTGGTCTCTGTTAAGGGTGAATATCATCAGCGAAGGTGAATTTGACGAATTTAATGATTTTATAAAGAGAAGACGGTTTATAAAATCAAAATGAGATTCTGTTTCTTAACATTGCGGAGATTCTGTTTCACCTCATTACATAGTGGGATTGATGCATGTACAGAGGAAGCACTTTTGGAGGAGTTTGAAGCTGCTGCCTCGCAGGAGGATGATGCGATTGCTGATCTAATACAAAATTTTCAAGATCTCTCCGCGGTACCATCATCTTTAGCAGCTTATTGACCTAGTTTAGGGATGTGCTTGTGGCTCGCATTGTATTCACAGAAGTCGATCAACTTCCTCTTGACATGGTCAGTATCTTCTAAACAACACTCACTCTAAATCGAATTCTGCTTAATCACACGGAAGCTCAGGGCTAGCACTTTTACTTTTTGCACTGAAAACTCAGTGTTTCTTGGACCTTAGATATCATGCCTTTTTATTTGATGCGATGCTCAATTAGATGGATCCAATAATAGCCAAATATCCTCATCATATTGCCCTAACCAAAAGGTGATTCATTACGTTCAGGACGGCGTGCTATGTCCTCTGTGTAAGAAAACGCAGCTGAAGCAAATTAAAACTGTCATAGTTTGTTCCTGCGGAGATTTTCGACTTGATACCAAGGATGATCAGGTAATCAAATTCTATGTTCAGATGCTCCGGGTACCTTCCATATATATAGTTGCTTCTTAGGCCATCACCTTTCTGGGGTTCGCATTTCTTGTGAAATGTGATCCAACCTATGAAAGGTAAGATCATTTTTTTTCAGAACTTTTGTATTTAGTCGTGTGTCAGATTCCAGTAACCTCATGTTTGAGCATATGGATTTGAGATATTGTGCAGATCGGGCTCAAGTTCCTACAAACTCGGTTAGCAGATGTACATCAACAGCACGCAGACTCGGGGTGCCTGCTTCAGCCAACTTTCTCCATAGAGGACCAGTTTGGTATTCCTGCCCTGTATATGAGATGTTCTAAATGCGAAAGTTTTCAGTGCGTTCTATGAGTAGAGAGAAATTAATTCCAGGCAGTGAATCACCAGTTCAATTCCCCCTTGTGAAGCGTTTTCAAGACTTCAATATCTGGAGCTCACCATGGCCAGGCTTTGTAAAATATGCTGGTGTAGTCTCCCAGACCAGAATTGATTTGAAAAGATTGTTTAGAAGAATACTCAGATCTGGTGAGTTAGCTAGGCTGGAAATTAGTGAACCTGTCACGGTTCTCGTTGTTATACCCTGGATGATTGTTTCGGAAGCGCTCGTCAAAAAATAATTGGTGCCTGCAGAGAAAGCGCTCTGGTGTCACCTGTGTGGCATTCAAATCACGCTTGAGTACAACATTCTCATGTTTCTTTTCTGTTTTTGTTTCACAATGAACTATCATTATTACTTCCCCAGAAGTGTGCTTTTTCAGTGCCTATAACTCTACTTCATTCTTAGCGGCATGACCATTTGCCTAAACGATAGCTCCAATACGCCTTTACATGCCATGAAACTATTTATTGCAGCATTTGCCTCAGGTTTTAGCAGACCTACATGCTTGCCACATTTTGGAATTAGTTCAGAATGTTGCCACTCAGATGCATAATTTTCACAAGGAATTCGCTGAGCAATATTAGCACATGGTTAAACACTCAAGTTTTTTTCTATTAAAAAGCTAAAAAAAGAAGGCGTTGCACACGTGGGTTAATACTTCACACGGTCAATCAAGAATTTTCGGTAGAACCTTAGTTTCGAGCTTCCAAAAAGAATGGGTCCACGCTAGGAAATTCAACCCTTCGAGGATGGAAGAGTGGAGGGAGCAGCTTTAAGATGTCGTCCATGCGTTTATCTTCGTTTGTGCCCACAGGGTTCATACTTGGGTGCTTCAGACTCAGCTGCTATGCATGTTTACAAGGGGGACTAGTCAGTGCGATCTGATGTCTTTTTGGCAAGATACCCGTTACATCCAAGGCTGTATAGTTCTCCCCCGTCTCTAGGCTCTTGTAACATTTCAAGTCGAATTTAAGATATCTTCAACTGTGGGTAGCTTTGCTTTCTATTTGAGCGGACTAAGAAGACGAAACAAGGTAGCAGCAAGCTCAGGAAGTTGAGCGTATTGGCAACCTATTGGTACCGATGGCGACGGCTTTTGTGACACCGCTCTCAACTTCTCATGCTGTGTAAGTGAAACCGGTCATTGAATGTTTGAGTCTTGCAACATTGCCGATTACCGGATGGAGGTGATTGTATTGCACGTAGCTGGGTGTCACATTGTACGGCAGGAGTGCATAGGGTTTGTGGGTTTTGATTCAATTGTGATGCGGTTTCTTCGGTGATTATGTTGGAAATTTGGCTATCGTTTTTAAAGAGAATTTGGGTTATTTCTCCTGGGGATGCCTTATCGTCGCTCGAGATTCGTACTAGGATTGTAGGAGGGATGTCCTTGACGCTTTTACTCTGAAAAGGACCTAGTTGTAAGCAATTCAAACTTGGAGGAGTTCAAATATATTCCTGGGCATTTCATGATTAGAGAAAGACATTGTTTTTCATTTACAAAGTGTGAATGTTCGACGCCTGTAGAGGTACAGAGAGCCGTGAGAATCCTCTAATCTTTACACTTCTTTGTGTGGCGTTGCAGGATTGATTTTGGTTTCCGTGAGCTTAAGCAAGTGACTTGCATAAGAAGCTGTAAATACGAAAGAAACGAATCTGCAGGGACGCTATGGCGAAGCAGGTTTCATCAATGTAAAGCATGCTTTAATCTCCTTCGTAGACCTAGAAACGTGGGTTCCACTCACCTTCTAGCTCAAAATTCAAGTGTGCCAAACGGAAATTCCTTCATTTTGAGGGTGCGATCTGAGGGCGATACTCATAACGGAACACCTAATTCCCGGCTGAGCTCCTCTAGTAGCCAACAAGCCGGCACTACTGAGGTCTGTTTCTCATTGCATTTAAATTGGTCTTCAAATTGGAATAAGTCGTCTTCAATTCCTTGTTTTCTAGTTCATAGCGTTGGTCGCGATTTGTCAGTCATACAGTTAACTTGTTTCTTAATCCGGATAATCAAAGTGAGACCAGTGTCCTTAAGTTTAGAATTGAATGATTGAGATTTTTGTGTTTGTATTATCTTTAACATCTCAGGAACAGGTGTTATTCTATTGTGAGACAGTTGGATTTAATGCAACTGAAGGAAATTGAAGGAAGATCAAAACTGCTAGGGAAACTAAGTGAGGCGAATCAATACATCAGCCATTTACAATATGAGGTCGGTACTTGCTCTTATTTGATTTTCCTATTAGATCTGGGTCTTTTCCTGCACGTTCGAAATCTTGATGCCTGCATCTTCTCTTAATCTCTTCGGTATCCGCATTTTCTTTACGTTATACAATTTATTTATTTATTTATTTTTCGTATCACATTCCTAGATAGCTAGACGCCAGTCTTATTTCAGATCATTTTTCAACATTCCATGTTTGATCTATGTGAGAATGCTTAAAACATATCTACCTCATTTATAAGTTTAACTTACCTGACTTTTCATTGAGAGTATTCTCATGACATCCCTCTGCTGGAGTTCATTATTCGTTACTGAGTCTAGATGACACTAAAATGAATTAGTACCAACTGCTTTGGGCATGTGAACCTTTTCTCAGCTGCAACTCAAGGAAGATTCTTTGACGGATACTGGGAAGGAGCTTTCTGCAATGGAGATGGAACTTCAGGTTCTGATTCCTACACATTCTCTGTATTTGCGTTTTTTGTTGGACATCCATCAGTTCGATTACTATTCATGGATAGAATATAGGATGTAAATATCTTAATTTCTTACCATACCTTGATCATAGTGGATTGCAGGTTCTCATTGATATGGCTCAAGAAATAAGCGGACAGATCATCAAACCAGGATCCCGAAAAATCAATGGACTCGACTTACATTCCTATCTTGTGGCTAGACTTGAAGGTGAGCACCCTGCTCTCAACTATGCTCCTGTATTAAGTGTACCAATTTCAGAATCTTAGGCACGGCTTCAGAATTTTCATTGTTTAAGTTCAAAAGTTCAGGGTCATTAGTGCATATTACAAGCAGCCAGTGTTTATGTTTGTGTAAAAGTTAAACGAATCATCTATCATCAAGTTTGAACTATATTCCCATTCTTAGAAAGTTTCAATTGGATCTACTGTCTAGGTCCATGTAAACCTAGAATCCAAGAGGTGTGAAGAAACTACTCACGTGTTTATCCTGGTTGTACGAGTTCTGCTCATGTACTTGTGGCCTGTCGGTCTCAGAGTCTTGAAGCATAGTAGCCCTATGCTCGAGTGGTATGATTTTGACCCACTCTTTCGTAGTTGTTTCTGCAAGTTTTGAAGTCTTCCTTCTTTTTGTCTCTAGAGATGCAGAAAGTTCTACATGAGCGAATCAAGGACGCCAAACAAGTACAAACCCGGAGCATTGACCTTGTGTATTGTGGAAAGGCTGAGGTAGGGTCCTCTGAGCGATGAGTCATTTTAGTTCCATTATATCAAATGTTCAATCTGTAGCCTCTATTGTGTAATGTATAATCTAGTACTTCTGTTCAATGTAGAATGTCTCACCTTCATGAGTAAAGAACTTTTAGATCCCTATTTGGGATACTGCTCTTCATGCACCCCTCGTGAATGGCTCTTATAGATAGGCTTCTGCAATAATATTGTTCATACTTGAGGTTCATTGTAGATCTTTTCGCTCCAACATGATCGATTTTCCAATATGTACTGACATTGACAATCTGATGGGGACAGGATGTGCAAGTAATGGGCTCATTTGATGGATGGACACGAGGAAAAAGATTGTCACCGGCGGGCTCAGGGACTTCTAATAAATTCACCACCACCATTGACCTTCGACCAGGCCGGTAAGCATGCACACAGCTCTAATTTGGATCCAATCGGCATCTAATTCGCACACTTGGCTTCAGCTTTTGTGGTGATCAGGCATAATCTTCTAGTCTTTCTCTTTATAATTTTAATGTACTTCAGCTGCCTTTCTAGTTTAACTAGTGTCCTGAAGGGGTCTTTCGTAAATTGGGGCATTGTATTTTCACTTGTAGGAAGACTTCCTGAAGTTGAAACCGTTGGATTACTTCGGAGTAATTAAACTCTTATCGAGTGTAGCATCAAGCTGATATTATTCGTGTTTTGCATTGTCAAGGTATGAGATCAAGTTCTTGGTGGACGGAGAATATCAAATGTCACCCGATCTTCCTACAGTAGGTGAAGGCTTAGTTATGAACAATCTACTAGTTGTGGAGCGGTTCTAAATGTGTGCACTTTCCAGCTCTTCATCAGTGGACATGATTCAATTTTCATCTTTGATTCTGAGTGTGTTGCTGATGTTCCTCGCTGGAACGATGTCTCTTAAAAGGGCAGCAGAGATGGGTTCAAGCAGTTACTTGTTCTGTAACAATTTAAAATCTGCAAATACAGGTAGAGAAATCTTCCACATCACTTCTGCCAGTCAACCCATGCAGGTGTCAAGCGGAACAAATGTTGCCTTGCACTACTTCCAGGGTGTTAAGATCAAATTTGCAATGTGGCTCTGCCTGACCTTCTCCATACTTTGCTTTCAACACATGGGGCGAGTAAAACTTATATTCCGGTTCTGATCTCCTGAAGTCGAAGAGACCTGCTTTGTGACTGTGGTTGAGTTGTTTTGCACATTGTATTGTATCAATTGTATCGACAGTGTCAGCATCGAACATTCACTTAACCAAATAATCTTTCATGAAAACATAGTTTTTCACTGCTTATCACTCACTAATAGGACCCACCCGTTAAGGAGGTAAAATACTCAACTACTTCAACCTAAATATGTGAACCCCATCAGGCTCACAGAGCAACTTGACTTACCTTCAACTTGAACTGAAGGCATGCAAATCTACTCTTGAGCAGACCACACATGAGGTACAATTTGAGTAATCCATGTGTGTTTTTATTGGAGCAGTGTGGGAATCTACACATACGAATTTTACCGAAGATGATGAAATCTCAATGGCTCATTGAACTTAGGGATTTTATCCTATCTTCTTTTTTGTGTCCTAGTGCCATTTCAAATCACACGGGATTAATCATTCTTCCGTTTCTTTGTTTTTTTTGTTTTTTTTTTTCTGAGTTTAAAATTAGGATGTTACATATTTCATGGGCAACATTCTCTGTGGCAAATACCCATAAAGAATATGGAAGAGCTTCCTCCCAGCTCCGCCCTAGATCTGGCTTCTAGATCCCCCTTCCTTACTGTCATCCTGTACATCCCACAAACTGGATACCCCCCCCCCCCCTAAAACTGAGATCCACGTGTATTCCGAGGTCGTAGATGCCAAGGATGACGTGGACAACACGTTGTGCTGAGTTGGCAAGCACCGCAACTGAAGTCTACAGTTCTCTGTGATGTGCAATTGCCTGCCCTCTCGCACCTGAAGTATTTTATTTGTCAAGTTGGACAGTAATTTGGCACGTTCTGGTTTTTATTCTGTTTTTAAGTTCTATTCCTCACTTTTGTGGTACCCACAAATTTACAATGTCACAGTCTTGTTGCATTGTTTGTCTTTTCTTTACTCATTTAGTGAGAAGCTTTATAGTGTGTCAATGAGAAACCCTAGTTGGGTGAAAACAAGGTCCATGCTTCCAATATTAATGAAGTCCATTAATGGATCTATCTGAAGTACAACTGAAGTGTTGTATGAGAAGCCGACTTGAATTGTAAGCTAAAAAAGGACTTTTCATGAAAACTATTCTTTTGCAGGCTGCTACAAAAATATGGACATTTGGGAGGACACACACATCCTTCAAATGCCAGTATCAAACAGACATGGTACACATTTGTTATATTCCGTGCCTTTCCACAGTTGTGAACAAGGGATTTAACACAGTAAAATAACATTTGGAATAAAGATAACCTTCAAACTCAGACAATTAAAATATTTTTAGAAAAACGACAGAATGTAGAGACACTTGGTCCTCAAAGACGGTCAATTATCGAATTTCTGTCAAACCTCGAGTTCCGCATTCTGATTCGCTGAACTTGTCCAACAAATCTCTGGCTTTTTTTATACCACACATTCACATCTGAAAGGCCAAATTACAATGGAAAAAAACAAAACAATTAATGGAAGAAGAATGAAGTCACGCCGACGTAGCACAAGTTTGAACGAAAAGAAAAATATCTGTTCCATTTTGACCTTAATATAGAAACTGGGTCTACGTGGCAGCCTTACTATCTTTGATACAAACCTAATGAGGACAAAAAATAATTAACTATTATTTTGACTTGAAGGTTCGACGATATGATCAGGTGGTGTAAGTGGGGCCTGTATTATTATTTTGAGTTTCATGGAAAGTCAATACTTGGCTGCCAAATGTCGGACACACGACAAGTGCTGAGTCAGCAAGCCATTAAAGAACGAAACACATATTTGTAAGGCTTTGAGGGAAAATTCAGCCTTTGCAACCCAACCAACTTGGTTTCCTTGACCCAATGCTAAAATAGATGTCGATAACTACATACTTGCCTTTCAATGTCACTACACACACACACACACACATATATATATATATATATATAATGAATATTAAATGTGTCAAAGAATAAGCAATGGAGAGAATGGTTTATTTAGCAAGTTGCAAGGCCCAATTGGGTTGCATTAGGTCCACAATTGTAGGTCCATTAAGCAACGAAGGACAGGCACTTTACACGCTAGCAAAGCAATGCAGGCAACTACATTACGTGGTGCTCTTTAACACATACCCTTCAGTGAAACTTCTCATAGTGCTGCCCGTTCTCGAACATTCATCCTCTCGCATTCATCTCACTACTTTCATCTGGTTTCATTCATCCGTTGTTATGGTGGTGGATGAGTGTTTGAGGATGAATGCGGACATATTTTGCAATAAACATAAGCTTGAGTTAATCTGATATCTTTTTTGACAATTGAATCATGCGTTCATTTTCTTAAACAATGTATGCATAACAAGAATTCTAATATATTTTAAATAACTTTAAATATTCTTCGATGCTCAAATTACCATTTTGTGGCAATGCAAGTTTTTAAAATTTTATATTAGCATCAAATTTTTAAAATATATTATTTTAATGATTTGTTTCAACATCTTTAAAACATTTTGAGCGATATGATCAACTTCAATCTCAGGACAAGAGCTTCAGTAAAATTTTCCAGAAACATATGTGTTCTTTAAAAGAATTGAACAGCCATTTCCAAGTACACACATAAACACGTGTAGCGAGTATTTTAGTTTAGCACCCACACATAGTATAAATTATTAACATCAGAAAAAACATAATACAGAAAAATTCATGGATATGTAATTCAATTGAACAAAGATACTTATAAAAAATTATTTGTAATAGTATTTTTCAAAATTATATGCAAAAGTTAAATACTACATAATATAGAATTTTATATTTACTTAATTTTTTTTTATCATTTACATGTTCACACATACATTTTATTCAAGTGAGTAATCTATGTATATATCCATAGTTACTACTAATATAATTTAGATATAATTTATTTTGACTTAAATCATTTATCTTCCAACTACTAACATTGAAGAGATTTTACAAATTTATTACTTTGAAAAATAAGCCTAGTCTTTAAGCCTCTCATCTGAAACACATATTTTTCTTACTAGTTTGGTAAATTTTTTCTCAAACATGTAATTTTTCTCGTCTTAGATTACAATAAAAATATATACATATATACATACATACACACACATATATAGCAAGAAAATTATATAGAAGTTCTCTAAGAACCAAAATATTTATATGCCAAATCCAAATTATATATGTATGTATGTATATATATATATATATATATATATTCCCATGTATTAAAAAATGCCTCTAGAAGCTTATTCATTGTTATTCTTGAAAAGCATCATGGCAAAGTGCAGTTCTTTTATAAAGAACATTAAGAATGAGATCCTAATTTTGTAGTTTAAGAGAATATTTGGCAAGGGGACCTCATCTTCCTTGAGAATATGAGGACCCCAATTTTCATGCAAAGAATAAAGGGAAAGGGCATCTCATTGGCACATGTTTAATATTTTAAAAGAGTGTTTGAGAGCATGATGTATCAATTTGCCTCTTGAACTCCCCCCAAAGGTATAGGGCCTTGATGCCAAAGGACCCTCTTTGCATGCCACCCAAAAGCCCAACATCAAACCCTAATTCCTTGTCCTCCCATCCCCTATTTTTTGTTTTGTTTTGTTTTTTTTTTGTTTTTTTTTGTTTTTTTTGTTTTTTTGTCAAGCTACGGATCTGAATGCTGAAATGGAACATTCACAGGTCCAGCTCTTTCTTCAAGGGAGTGCATGGTTTATTTTTTTGAGGTTGTGAGCCGCCCTTCATGCACATTCCTCCCTCTTTGATTGCTTTTCCATATATACCACATTTATCATATACAAAGTTATTAAAAGTTAAAAAGTTTTGCATTTCGAAAAATAAACATGTCCTTTAAACCTTTAAAAGGGAAGAACACCTCTTGTATTCTTTGAATTGATCCTTATCATAATCAGGTCAGCTCTTATCAGGTAAGGCATTTAAAGAAGGAAAGTTATGAATGAGTCCCATTGGATTCTCATTCTTCAGCATAAAATTCCTCCCAATTCTTTTTCCTTTTTTGGGGGGGTTCAATGTTGAGTTGTTGTTATTGCACAGTGAAATTGTAGTGTGGGTTTTTCATTACTATTATTATTAATTCACTATTTAGCACAAGTGTTCAATGAAAACTTGTTGCCAAGCAGTTGGTCTAGTTTAAAATGGCTTGATTTCAAATTATAAGCTATGCAAGTGAATGACACATAACATCAGTAATATACCGTGTTACAATTCTCTTATTTTGAAGCCTTCACCTGAAATTATTTAAGGAATTGTTCATATTTCTACAAGATAGAATAAGTTTACTAATGAATTGACAAGTGATGTGTATAAATTACACTATATGTTTTGATGCATACATATAGAGTGTTTTCCTTATTATTGCCAATTTACTGGTTCTATGCATGGATTAATATTACTGAGTTACTCAAAAAACCAAAGATATAAGAAAATATGTAGCACAGTAAGTTCTATTTTGTCTGCGTTACTATGAAGCAAGGAAATCTATATTGATGTAAGTAAATTGGAACAAAACATATGTAGTCAAGAAAATACTAACTGACATAATTGAACACTTTATTAATATTCCTAGTAAGTAGCAACTTATAGCTACTTGAAAAATATTGGACTAAATTAACTTCCAAGGATGCAAGTAAACATGATTTTACTTACTTTGATGTGTACAATTTAGACATTACATTCTTTGAAGTATAGTAACCCTAATTTTTGGTGAACAAGGGTTGTTCTACATAGAGCTCAAACAATTATGTTGCTAATATAATTTTTGATTAACTTCTTATTGTCAACTTCCTTTTTTGTTCTCCTTTATTTTTCCTTTAAAAATACACTTTAAAATGTGGAATTAAATTGTGACCAAGATAAACAATTTGAAATGCCTGCTATGGTTTTGAACTGAAATAAACTGTAGGCTATGGAAGCATAAGAAAAGAGATGCTTGGGTTAGATGTTTTGCATTGAAATTTCAAGTATGTGTGATTATGATTGATACAAAAGACACAACAGAATGTGTCTTTTGTATCAACTTTATCCCATAAAATAAATTATAGTTATTTTTTTTCATTGCCGTTCTATATATATTTGTACTTGTATTCATATCCTATCAAGTACAAAGAGTTTATTTATTAATACTGAAATCATGCAATCATATCACACAAAAAAAATTAGAGTATATTTTTATTTCATATATATATATATATATATATATATATTAATAAAATTGTGATAATCGTGTGGCTATTGAATCATGATAAACTTGAAATTTTATAATATACTCATGTTGTTCTATATATATATATATATATATATAGCCAGAGAGAGAGCATGTATTTTTCTTTGTTTAAATTGTATGTTATATTGTATATTTTTTGTTTAAATTTATGGTAAATAATTGAGTAATGCAACTCATAAAATTAAGATAGAAAATTATATGAATTATTCTAAAAATGAAATGAGAGAATAGGATGTCAACATAAGAAGGAAAAAGAAAAAAGAGAGTAACTAATTGTATATTTATTTTTTCTGTTAAATGGGTCAGTACTTGTAAATAATATGAACATTTGTAGTAACAAGCATGAAAGGAAAGTCCATCTCCATTTTGTTCAAGTCCAACAAAGTAGAATACTCATGTGATGCATCTATTAAAACTATTGTTACTTAGAACTTTCTCCCCATTTTCAACAAAAAAATACTTTAAAGTGAATATTTTTCATCAACTGGAGGCAACATGAAAATGTAAGTAAACCACTGATTCTACTAAATAGTTGTGGGAAAAAGTCCCCACATAGTCATTCAAAACACTTTTTAAATAAAGACACATACTAGACAAAAGTTTCTTCAAAGAAAACCCACAGAGGCTCCCAAAAAGACGCCTGGTCTAAGTGACTTTTCTGCAATAAAAATAAAAGGGAAATGATAAAGCAACCCAAATTTTTACCAAATTGACCCACAATGCTTTATTCCCAACCATTCCCCCATTCCCAACCATTGCCTTATTCCCAAAGTTCCCAACCCCCTGCCCTTGTCTTTAGCAACTATTGAGAATGGGGAATGGCTGGGAACAAGGATGCAGGCTCCAAAGGTGCAATGATGCTTAAGATAGAGTGGGTCACTTTAGTAAAAATATGAGTTTCCTCTATCATTCTCCTACTATATATATGTGTATATATATATATATATATATATGTATTACCTTTTCTTTTTATTTTGCATGTTTTAGAAAAGATTTTGTAAGTGTGAGCATAAGCATATACTCATATTATAGTTCAAGAACTTCACCACATTCTCACACTCACATGTCAGAATTTAACACTTAGACAAAACACACACACATACACACACACACACACACACACATATATATATATATATATATATATGTATACACATTACTTTTTTAAGTTTTTTTTTCCCACACCGCCCAATATTATTCAGTGCACATATCACTGAAGAAGGGCAGACAGACTATGTCAAGGCATTGCTGTCTGCAACAGACAGACAAGGGCTATCCTCCACCACCCAGTTTAGGGATGTCGCAACACATCATCCTGGCCCTTGGTTGGATGTTGTGCCCAATGACACATGATAATATTGGTTCCCCTTTGGGAACGTTGCACTTGGCCCTGCATCCTAAATTTGGACCCTCTGAGTGAGATTTATCCATCTTCACTGTGTAGAATATTCCAGACAGCTTATAAAAATACACTGGGAGTAGGAGGCCAGGAGAAAGGCAACTTTTACTGCAAGTTAAGCTAACTCAGCAAATACAAAGCATTATACACCAGCTAGCTGCCTTCTCTCTTTTACTTTGTGTGTGTGTGTGTGTGCAAGTGCACATGCACTTTGTATTGCATGAGTGGAGGTTTGCTTCATGTGAAGGCAGCTATTTATGGCTGTTTGTTTTTTATTTTGATTTTGATTTTTTTTTGTTGTGGGATCCATTACCAATGCGGTGAGAATAGGGGATTTTTTTCTTCTAGTGAACAGGGTCTCTGATCATTCTGATGTCCAGCAGCAGTGAGGAGGAGGAGGCCGTGGTTGCCATGTCATTGAATGGTGGAATGAATGACTTTTGCATTCATGAATTGTAGCTGATGCATGGGGCTCTCAGAGTTTGACATTCTAAAAAGTTCTAAAAAGTTTTTGGAAGGAAGACAAAAAAGCATGGGAGTTCTTTAATGTGGAGGATTATGCTTCGATTGAAACGTGGCAGTTTTTATTTTTTATTATTATTATTATTATTTAAATTTTGTTTATATGTGAGGTGGGATATTAGTTGAGGGTCTGTGAAGTTGGTGATGGAAACCATGAACTTTCCCATCTATCAAAGTGCAAGTAGCAATCCACAAGTGTTTTTTTTTTTTTTTTTTTTTTTTTTGCTCATGTGTTCATTATTGAATGTGAAGGAATCTGGGAACTCAATGGGTATGAATGTTTTATTTTTTAATTTTAAAAAAATAATTGTGTACGGTGTTCTTGTTGTTATTTTATTTTTTGCTTCGTTGTTTTGTCAATGCATGTTGAGTTTCAATAGTCATGTATTTTGAATTTTAAATCAAGTCTACTTTAGTATTTATTTTCTAAACTGCTTGTTTAGAACATTTTAATATCATGTCTTTAGTTTCCAATCAAATCAGTTACTTCAGTAATGGGAAAGATTTGTGGAGAGCAATCCATTCTAATAGCAGTTGTTTTGATTGTGCCAAAGAGGTGATTTTACATAATAAAACATGTCATTTTAGTGTCTGTATTTTAAAGTGATACATGATTTTTATTTTATATTTATTATCAATAAAATTTGACTACATATGTAAAAATACATAAAAGTTCTTTCATATTCATACAGAAAAACATAGCTTGGGTGGATACCTACACATCACATGTTTGATGATGCAAAGTGCATATCAACTCATCATCAAAACATCAAAGATTTAAGAAAATTAATGAGTTGAATACAGCTTAAGTTTTGAGCTCTATCAGATAGAAAAATATATTTACTTTAATTAGATGTATATGTTTCAATTCATTCCAAGTATACATAATTCATTTCTTTTTCTACAATCAGAATATTTTCTTTCTAAACCTAAAGCTACATGATAGTCCACTTAATAAATTTTCACATGTACCATCAACCAATGTTGATAGTTGTGAGTTGTCACCCAAAAGCTTAGCACCACACTTTTATGTAATCTGTGAAGTAAAGTCCAGTAAGAATTACACATGTGATAATAACTAACTACACCCATTTTTATTAAATTTGTTTTATATTTTTCAATATCATGATAGTACCCCTTGTGTGAAGAAAACACTAGTTAATCAACCCAAGCCAGCAGCAAAGTTCATGAGCTCCACCCCATCACACATCACAGTCATTCAACCACAGTGAAAGAGTGTTTCTTTTGTTTTTTTTCCATCCTCCACACATGAAATAAATAAAAAAACAAAACAGAAGCAAATACTGTGAAAAAACACAGACATCTGATCCATTACGCCACGAAACTCTGACACATGGAGCTCCTGTGAGCTGTGGTGGCACCAATGAACTTGTTCAAACCCTCCCTCGGTTGCTGCAATTTAATTTTTCCACACAATTGGCAATGACTTATCTGGGCTTCTGGAAGTATAACTAGGACTTATCCAAATGAACCATTTACTAATGACCACATCAGCAACTCAGACTCCTTTTTGCGCCAGCATATAAAGGCCAGCGGGTTGCCATTCTCATAAGATCTCCCGGCGACTTCTGGACGACGCCGGTTCGAGGACGCGTGCGACCCATCGCGACACCACCGCCGTGTCGAGCGCGAAGGCGCTGGCTGCTGTGGCTGGCACGAGGACGGGCGGAGCTAGTTTTCCGTCGCGACGAGGAGTAGTAGTCGTGGTGGGGAGAGGAGCAGCAGCGAAACGACGAAGGACTCGACTCCTCCGTCATGATATGAGAGAGAGCCTAGGGCCCTAGCATTTCAATCTAGACCACCACTTTATTCGAGTTCTTTTCAGTGTGTGTCTGTTTTCATGAAATCGTTGCAGCTGCTGCTGCTAGTTCAGTTTCGAGAGCGTTTCTAATTGTGACGTAGGCTGTGAAGGGCGTCGTCGTTGCTAGTAATAGCACTTGGGTCCATGCTCACTTTGCTTTTTGGAACCGAGTGTGGCTCGATCGTTGCGTGTACCCGCGACAAGGGGACGCTCTCATCCCGCCGCATGCAACGCTGTCAGCTTGTGTGTGTGAGAGAGCGAGAGAGAGAGAGTGGGTGATCAAATTGCGGCTGCGCGCAGGGAATTCGTGCAGCTCGTCCGTTTCCTCGCTGTGGTGGGGGAGCGGGGTACAGTGGTGGAGAATTTTGTGATTCCTTGCAGCGTGGTTTCCTGCCTCTGATTTTCCGTCATTTGCGGGTGGGATTGATGGTGCCCAGGAGTTGGGGAGGGGCTGGATCTTGTGAGCCTTGTAGTTGGCGGTGTGGGGGGTTGTAGAGCGGTGAGTTTTGGGGGTTGAGCGAATGCGAAGAGACTCGTTGGGTGTTTGGACCCGCTTGCGTGGTCTCGAGGGTGATGGTGAGATCGGTGAGGGAATTGGTTGCGACGTTGGGAGGGTGAGTCTGTGAGCAGGGAATTGAGGGAGTAGTGAAAACCAGAGTTGCAGTTTGTTAGAATTGGCGGATACAAGATGGTGATGGTGGGAATCCATGATGAAGCTCGCCATGAGCCCGGTAGTGGGTGTGCATGTCTTTCGAAGGTGAAAATCCAGCCGCGGATGTCGTCTTCGGAGTCTCTCGAAGGGGCTAGAGCGAGTGTGAAGAAAGGTGCTGCTGCCTGTGGGCAGCGGTTTTGGTATAATGTGATGCATCGGCTGCGTGGAGGGGGTCACAGCAAGGATGGGCTTGGCACCTACAGTGGGGTTCTCATTCCTACCTGCGAGAATATGTGGGGTAAGTGACAGTCTGCGAATCCCCCCCGCGTGCATGCATGTCCGTGAAGTTGTATTCACTGCAACTGCGGCAAGTGTTGGGGCACTGTTGATGATCTCGAGCTGCCTGGATTGACGTAGTAGTTCGGAATGTTTGCAGGTGTGCTCATCTTTCTACGATTTTTCTACATCGTGGGAAGCGCCGGAGTGTGGCAAACTTTTCTCATTGTTTTCATCTCCTTCCTGTGCGCGATGCTGACCACCATGTCCCTTAGTGCGATTGCAACGAATGGGAAAATTGAGCAAGGAGGCACCTAGTGAGTCTACTGCTTTCTCAAACTGTTTCATCAATGTCGCGTGCTTGTTCTTGTGAGAGGTCATATTGTATATTGGGTCAGGGTGGTTTTCATTTCCGTGCACTCTGGAGAAATTTCTAGAAGATGGGGGTCCTAATTACAACGAGAAATCGAGTTACCGAAGATTTTCTCTGTTCTCACTGTCGAATATGTGACAGTTATCTCATATCAAGAGCGTTGGGACCAAAGCTTGGCGGAGCTGTGGGGTTACTGTATTACATTGGGGTAGCTCTGCTTGCTGTTTTGGAGGTGAGTTTCTCTTTCACTCATTAACGAAATGAAGTCCAGTCCTCGGAAAACTGGATCTGTTGTGCGCAAAAAGGAAATCTGCAGACATATACTTATTACATGCAGAGGTTTATGGGTCTTCTGCAGCTTCGTCCAAATTGTGCTTCGCGATTGCTACTAGAGTCTACGAGGGAGAGAGAGAGAGAGGAGATTGACGCTATTCCAAAGAGCTTTAGATGCGCAGTAATACGACTATTCTACAACGCAAGTGCTTGCGCGTAACAGTTGCATTTTAGACTTTCGTGGCATTAAATCCACAGTATCGAAAATTATGGCGTGATCCTACACTGTATCACACCTTCGGAGCGGCAGTCTGTTTTCATGTAGCAAGAGTCTGAAACTTGGTGACGAATTTAACGAGGGCAGCTTTTTGAGTTGCTCCAGTTCACCACTTGCTTTTCCACAGCGTTTGAATGCCAGGCCGTTTCTGATGGTCGTTCATTACATCTTACCATTTGGGACTCGTGCATGTTTTCCTGCATGGTGGTGTAACGGCAGGGCCTCGGTTCAGTAGAGATGATCGTATTCACCTTTCCAAGCCTAGACTTCGTGTCGGCGAATCGAATCATTGGCGCATGTATCTTGCTCGTGCTGGGTATACTGGTGAGTTAATGCGCGTGCTATTTTGCTAATCGCTCGAATATGATACAGTAACAGTTCTTTTTTCTGGTGGTGGTTGACTATGGCGTACTGCATTGCTCTCAGCACTCGTATTGCATGTTCACCTGACGGATAGGCTTCACTAAAGATGAACATCACTGTGTTTAATCCAGGTGTTCTTTGGAATTAAATTCGTCTCCAAATTGGGGCTTATCTTCTTCGCCATCGTCCTTTACACCATGCTTTCCTTCTACTTGGGTTTGGGAATGGCGCCCCGAGGATCTCATGCACCACCATCTCTTACCGGGCTGTCGTGGACTACGTTCAAGGGCAATTGGAACCCCGGATATCCACCAGGAAAATCGTTTTCTACTGCCGTGTCCCTCTTTTTTCCCTGCTTTACTGGAATCTTGAGGTAACTGAATGATCCCCTAGCAATTTGTTTTCTATCAACAGGACGTATTATTGGCTTTGTGTTCACCTGTAGTACTAAGGCAGGTCTCGTTGGCAGGCCGATCTTTGAAGTTGCTGTGTTTTCTCTTTGAAATTGCGTCTTAAACTTGCCGATAAGTTTTGAATGTTAAAAGTCTCCTTGTTTTGGCAGTGGAGCAGATCGAGCAACTAATCTTCGACGACCAGAGAAGTCGATTCCGCAGGGAACTTTGGGAGCTGTTGTGATCAGCTTCGTCATGTACATGTCCTACATGGGTTTGTGGGCTGCTGTGGCACAAAGAGATTATCTTCTTGGGGTTACCGGCGGAGATCATGCAATGCTTTATGTCGTGAGAGAAGTGGCTTACCCCGTGGCCATCCTCACCGAGCTTGGAATCATCATTGCCTCCATTGCGCAAGCAATGCAATGCATCATCATCTCACCTCGGTTACTTCAGGTAATTTCACAAGGGCACTTAGAATCGCCTTCGTAGGAAAACCAACGAGAGTTTATTGATAATCTGAGGGTTACATAACTAAAGTGTGTTTTTCGAACTGTTCATGTGATTTGAGACCTGCAATTCATCACTTCTTCGTGCACTGCAGGCCATTGCTGCTGATGGAGTGGTGCCATTCTTGGGGCCATTCGCAGTTGTTTCAAAGAATGGAGAGCCGAGAAGGGCTTTGATTGCTACCACCGCACTCTGCATCGTTTTTGCTATGATAGGAAGCTTGAACGCTGTGGCGCCGCTTGTCTCGATCTGTTTCCTGACTTGCTATTCAGCCCTTAACCTTTCCTGCCTGATACTTTCCGCTGTAAATGCACCCAGGTACAAGCCGTTCTCTAAGCGTCACTCTGTTTGGTCGAGTCTTAATGTCTTCATGTCTTCAGAAAAATGTACAGACACCCACCTAGTACTTATTGTGTAACTAAACTGGGATTGAAATACACCGGGCTACTAAAAATATGAAAACGGTACTTAAACTCTAACGTTGCTTGGTACAAGTTTATTGTGATATGAACTATTTTTTTCACCTACTGACTGGATGTGATATTCTCTTGTTTGCAGTTGGAGGCCGAAATGGAAGTATTATCACTGGTCAGCTGCTCTTGTAGGATTTCTAGCTTGTGCAGCCATGAACTTTGTGATTGTGTGGTATTGGGCTTTGGTGGCGATGGCCTTCCTAGTCTTTATATACATCTACATCGACTTTCGCCAGGTAATCCTTTCCTCCTGTTTCTTATCTGTACTTCTTTTACGAGAACACTGCTTTTCGTGCTAGTATTGGTAGCTATCGACTATTGTCCTGTTATTACGAAACAAGATTTGAAGTTAATTAATTAATTAAAACCCTCAACCATTTCTCAGGAGTTGCTGGATTCAAAAAATTATCTGCTACTTCGAAATTTGGGGTGCCCGTGAAAAGAACACAAAATGTAGATTTCGAATTACAATTGAGACTTGAAACAGGATGGGTGACACATGTAATGCTGCAGGTTGAAGTGAACTGGGGGACTGGTTTAGGTGGATTGTTTCTTCAAATAGCCGTGCGTGGGATTCTTGCTGTTGGAGAGGAGGCTAGATATACCGTGAATTGGCGACCTCAGCTATTATGTCTTTCAAAACCCAGATCCTCATGGACCGATAAGGGACATGCAGACCATGAGTTCCTGTTCTTCACTTCCCAGTTAAAGAAGGTACGTTGCCAGTCTATGTCATACATAAAGACTCCTCCTGATGATAGCCTGCCGAGAGGTTTAGCGCACGTTCAGTCTGAGCACGTGTTTTCTAATGATACACATCAAAGTAAAATTTTCACCATTACCAGCCATGTCCATGGCCGAAAAGATTAATGAATAGCACGGTGGTATTCCCTTTGGAAAACAACATAACAGGGGCAAGGGCTGTGCGTGGTAACGGTCATTCTTACGGGCAAGCTTGACGAAATGACAGCTCAAGCAGCGGGTGAAAAGATTGAGCTCGAAAACAGAATGGCCGAAGCAAAAGTAATTGGCTTTGGAAGAGTATTGATTGCACCCTCATACCGCGAAGGCAAGACTTATGCTATTCAGTCATCAGGTTTGGGAAGCTTGGAGCCCAATACTGTGGTACTTGGGTGGCCTACCAAGTGGCGAGTCCCTGGTCATGAAGATAATGCTGAGGTATACCTTTCTGCTCTTAAATTACTCTCTCACTCTATTACCGTGCATTATGTAGTTTTTATTTTTATTTTTACTTTCACTTTTATGTGAAGCATGTGCTATTGAGGCGTCCTGCAAAGCCAACGCATTTTATTCTCTCTAATTCTGAAATACATATTGTGGTCTTGCCTACGTGCAGGTTTTGCTGGAGACCCTAACAGAATGCCGGGCAGTAGATAAGGCTGTTCTCTTATGCATGCACTTGGACCGATTTCCTGGTAAAGAAGAGTTTCAAGAGGGAGTCATTGACGTTTGGTGGATTGTCCATGATGGAGGATTGCTCCTGCTTCTGGCTCATCTCCTGCAACAGCACAAGATTTGGCGGAAGTGTAAACTTCGTGTGCACACTGTGGCTGAAAAGCTGGATAACTCGGAAGTGGTAAAGAAGAACTTGGAAAGATTGTTGGAATTGGTAAGAGCCCAATATTTCCACCTAAAATTTCATGTTGAACAACTCTGAGTATAGGAATGGGCTCAATATATGCTTTCCAGATATTGACAGATTTGCCACTCATTTTTTTTGCATGTTCTGATGCTCTTGTGGTACCACCGCAAAACTTCATCTCGAATCTATTTTGGTGCGTGTTGGTATTCTGTTTGAGAATTTAGTTTCGAAACACATAATAAACGTTCCAGACTTTCCTGGTCTTGGCAGGTAAGAATAAAGGCTGAGGTTCAGGTATTGGAGCTTGATGAGTCATGTTTGGCGCCGTACACATTTGACTACACCATTCGGGTGGAAGAAGCCCGGGCTTTCGCAGAGGAAGTTGCTAATTACCGGTGAGACGCAACTTCTGTTTTGATACACTTTTTCTGCTCATTAGATAAAACTTTCACATCCATTTAGATCGTATTGGGTATTTTTTGAGTTGATAATTCAAGCGAATGGCTCTGTCATAAGCACCCTGTACTCGTACACTCAAATGGCTTCATTGGCTGTATCTTCTATAAGTGACCTTAATTTCCACTCCTGTTGTTCCTATCATCCTGTTCCATATTCGACAGATATAATGATTAAGTGTATAAGGTCCTGCTGACCTGCAAACCTTGTGCCTTAATCCCAGGAAAGCTAGTGAACATAGAGCGAGTACCAGTCCTCATGGGTCAGGGCGACGTACTGAGATTCCCAAATTAGGAGAAAAACACAAGGAAAAAGGACCAGTACCAAGCTTTCAGCTCAGTGACCTTGAGGGGACTAGCTATGCTAGACGAAGAGAGGCGCGGCGAAATGCATCAAGTAAACCGAAAACCTTTGACTCATTGACTTATTAGTGGCTGTTAGGAATCCTATGTACAAGTGTGTCACTTTCTAGAAAGTATGAATTTATAGTTTGCTCTGTTGTTAGAGACTTTCAAAGCTTGGTGAATATTGCCTTTTGTGCTGGTGTAAATGTGTAAAACACACTTTCAGGTCCAAATGGTGGGAAGGGATCCCCGACCCATACTTCCAACGAAATTAAAGTGAGTTCACCCGATTCAAAACAACCCCAACATCCATCATCTGCAGCGATGCCGCCTTTGGACCTCCCATCCCCTACATTCTCGAAGATAACTGAGAAGCCGATAAGTGGTGAAATCGAAGCAAACTCTGTAGCTTCGACCGATTCCACTACTCAAGGGCCGAGCATCTTGTCTAAATCTAAATCTAGATCGGGTTCACGTCGCAAGCCTAAGAAAACCACGCAATGGGCCGATGGTGGTGGTGAAACGACGAACCAGGACCGTCAAAGTCCTTTGGAAATTGTGATTGATGATGGCGGCCTTATACCTGATATGGTCGATAGCGATGAGGTAATTAATTCTACAGCTCATGGAGTTTTTGCAGATTTCTTAATTTGATGTCAAGCATCGAAACATGTTGGTATAAGATTCAGACACAAGGAGGTTAAGACAAATTTCAAGGTTTTCTAGAGGTTTCTAGATTTCCGGAAGAATTGGTCGAACCATTCCCGGATCATAATCTTCTTGGGAGACAATTCAACTTGTAGTCTTCAACTTAGATCTATATATTATATTTCAACTAATCAGCTTCAACTGTACCCAACTAAGTAGGTTTATGTTTTGTGGTCTGTACAGGACGATGGATCAGATAATGAGAACTCAATACAAGGATCCAGTCAATTTTATCCAGGTTCTCCTGCAGGAAACCCAGCTGCAATTGAGGACATGCCGGAGCCCATGAGAAGGACATGGGAAACATTCAGCCAAAGCTATTCCCCGAAGAAGCTGAATGACATTATCATAGAACAGTCTCGTGATGCACAATTGGTTCTTATTAATCTGCCGGACCATTACAAGGGCATGGAGCCCCATCGATATATGGAGTACTGTGAGGAGCTCTGTGAGGGCCTCAACAGAGTTCTTCTGGTGCATGGCACAGGGAAGGAGCTGTGGGGTGGCCAAGCTCATCTTGGGCTCTAAACTCAATTAGAGTTGTGAGATGTATCAAAACCAATTCTTCCATATTTTGTTTCTTCTTAAACTTTTCCCATAAAAGTGTTAAAGACCTGAGATGGATTGTCTACCATTTTCTATCAATACAATAGATATTCCTCGTTAATTTTAGAAAGTAAATAAAAAAAATTAAATTAACCTCAATGGAGAGGCTCTTTCTTCCGGTCAAAAATTCCAATGGGTAATAGAAAGAAATGCATGATGCCCAAGATCAACTACTATCTATACAAGCAATTTTGACATCGCTTGCAACTGATTGTAGCAAATTCGAAGTAGTTTATGGATACTGGATTGTGAGCACATGTGGCAGGCAGACGAGTAACGCTACAATCACTACACATGGAAAATTGGAACATTTCATGATGTGGTGTTCAGAGTCACTGAAGTGTCGTACAGTCACAGATTCGCAGTTGGGTAAAATGAGTTCAGTAGAGAACATTGAGTAACAATACGTTTTTGGGATATAGAGAATGTGAATAATGTATGGTACTGGGGGACCCCAGTGCTGATCCTCAAGTGAAATTCAGCCACTTAAAACTACGGTCGTCTATCTTACATCCTACAAAGCAAACAATCACCTCAGGCAAGTCTATCCAACATAAATATTAGTTCATTAAGGAATAATCTTCTACATCAAACATGCTCTGACAGCACGATCGTATGAAAAGATATCAAAGGAGTCAGGTAGCCTTCAAAAACAAATCCAAAACTACAATACATCATATTGGGCTATTCCATTAAGCCAGACAATGTGCACAATAGATTCCCAGAAAAGTAGGGATCAGAATGGATACCAATGACCTGTTCTTGGAGTGCAGCAGAAGAAAATTGTAACCAAGTCTCGATGGGATCGAATAGCCTCGCTATTCAAACCAATTCAGTTTCATCTACCTTCTAAATGAAATGATGCCTAGGACGCTATCTCTCTAAAGCAACTTAGCTCCCTCAGTGGATATCAATACATTGTAAACTTGGATTTAGTGTTCTCAAATATTTGCTCCGCAGCTTCAGCCACACTACCATCTGCTCGCTTCACTTCAAAGTAGACTTTTTGATACTGGGCTGTACCTCGAATTGCATCAGCTATGAAGTCATCGAAGCCAATGGCTAGTGCTGCCTCTGCTTGTGCTCCATATACCAATCTCTGTGCAAAAAGTCATTCAAACACTGCAAGCCCCGAACTTGATATACTTCAAAATAAGACCATTACAAAGGAATGCCACATGGTGTTAAACTCAGGTGAACAAAGGATTAGTATTTTAGCCATAGCACAACTACTATACCTTCATTTTGGACAGGTGAATTGCGCCAAAACACATGGGGCAGGGTTCGCAAGATGCATAAATCTCGCAATCAGAAAGATCATATCTTTCCAGCTTCTTACACGCCTGCATAGAAAATTAGAAAAAACGTCTTGTTATCTAGTTCACGCAAACCGGGCGGACAGCTTTAACAGGATGAGACCGTTGCAGTTAGGGGTTCAGATGCCATTTGACACAGGTGAACAATGAATGAAACTGCCCAAACAGAACTTTAAAGAATACTCTAATAAATTGGACAATAGCGAAAAATTGGTGGTGTAATGATTAACCAACACATGATGGAGACTGCTCAAATAAAGTTGCGATGAAACATACCTCGCGAACTGCCGTTACTTCCGCATGAGCGGTAGGATCCATGTTCTTAAGAACCATGTTGTGACATCTCACTATTATCTGGTCGTCTTTAACTACTACTGCTCCAAAGGGGCCTCCATCTCCACAGCGAACGCCCTCGTAAGCCTCTTCCACCGCCTTAGACAAAAACCCATAGTCTCGTTCATTTACAGCTGTAAAAATTTAATTAATATAAGATTAAAACACAACCAACCACGTAAGCAGCGAACTAGTAACTAGTTAATTATTGATGTGCAACACCGCCAATCCAATTCTTTTAATGTGTATGCGTCCAGTAGTAACAGAAATTGCTTACAGCAAAATGCATTTCAAAAATTTCTCTTGCTAAAGTACACGCCCAATACACACTAAATGATTGTCACAGCAAGAAAACGGCCACCTGAATTTCTCACAAGGAATGTATCAGAATCGAAGAGCGATCGAAGAAATTATACCTTCCTGATGAGCTGGAATGTGGGGAGGAACCACGACATGCGTATCTCTCGTATTTTCAACTGCGAGGATTGAATATCGTCGTCATTAGAACAAACTTTCCAACAAACAAGACAAACGAATCAAGACCGGAATTGGGCCAAATCCTTATGCTCAGAATGCGCAAACAAATATGTTAAAAGACAAACCCACCTGGTTCTCCCATGGTAAACCTACGATCTACTCTGCTTCGTAAGCGAGTCAGACAAATAAAACCTAAATTCCAGATATCCCCCAACAGCTGCCTAATGAAGAATTAACTCAGTGTTTCAAATCTGGCTCCACACCTGTTTCAGCAAAGCTGCTCATCAACCAAAGATTCCATTACACCTCTGTAAGCAGTTGCATCTGACATTACGGAAGCAAAAGACCGAATTCTGAGTTGAAACTTGCGCCAAAATTCAGAACACAATGAAAATGTCAGTCGGGAATGTGGGGCAACACCTGCAACTAACATAACCTCATCACACATCAAAATAAGAAACACGCAGCTGCATTGCACAACTGATCACGAGATGCTCACAAGGACTGTATCACACACAGACGCAAACATATGCCGTAGATGCGAACCTGGCGTTCAAATCCAAACAAATAAGATAGAATAAAATAAAAGACACCTCGGGCCCACCAACAGAAGCGACTCGAAAAAGTAACTGTCTAATTGCCTGAATCACGCGATGAAAAACAAAATAAAAGTGAAATCTACCATCGGGCCAACGCGCAACACAAATCCAACCACCGAAATAAGAACCTGGCAACAAACAGGCAGGAAGGTGAATCCTTGGACACACATGAACCCAGACGGCACGAATCTGACGCAACCCAAAAACTCCCTATCGCGAGAGAAGCCAATCTATCTGGAAACGGGCCAACACAAACCTCACGAAACCCGAATCCCGAGGTATCCACAAATCCTACGAGCGTGACACGCTCCAGCGAATAGTAATGGATGTGAATCCCGCAACACTGGGTGAAGAATTTGGTGATTTGAACGAATGAGAAGTGCAATGACGTTTGAGTTTCTCACCAACTTCTCTGCAAGGCGTGTGGGTTCTTCCCTCTTTCGAGAGGCTCGTCTCTTCGTTGCCGATCAGGTTGCAGGATTTTAGGGTTGCAGGATTTTAGGGTTGCAGGATTTTAGGGTTGCAGGATTCTTCCCCTCCAGCATTTTGATTCCAACAGATCACCCTCCCCTTCCGAATGTCGTACTTAGTAATGATCTACATATTCTTACCATGGCTTGTGTGTGTGAGATCAACATTTGTTCTATTTGCTTGGTGCACACAATCTTTATTTTGTCACAAGCCAAGATTTGGGAAAGGCACCCATATTGTATTTTTCATATTTTGTTTCAAAACAATTTGAGAAACTTGATTCACATGTTTCTCAAATTTGAGAAATTTGAGAAACTTGATGTGCATGTTGCAAATCTTGTATTGACAACTTCAAATTTTAACTAGCATAGAATGTTTTGTTTTAGGAATAACATGTTAAAGCAAGTTATTTATATAATTTATAATAATATATTTTAGATGGATGCATTGACCTATAAATAAATATGTAGATGTTTGGATTAATAAATATAAATACATATAAATAAATAAAACATTGTTTACATTAGCAACATAGAATGGCAAGTTATACAAATTCAACTTTATCACATACAAGAGATTTGAGGAGTAAATACAAGAAGAATTTGCAAGAATTAAAAAAAAAAAAAAAAAACAAAAAAAAAAGAAGAAGAAGAAGAGATAGATTATACCAACATCAATGGATGTTTCTAATGAACATGTCTTGTTATACAATTATCTACCTTACTTTTGATTTTTACAAATCAAAAACAATTTGAGGCATAAACATGATTTTAATATAAATCTTTAATTACAAATTTCTTGTGTTAGAAGTATTGCCATTATACTTTGGCCAAAGGAATCATTGTAAACAACAATGGATTTTTTCTTGAATCTTTGTTTAAATAACAGATATTAGAATTGCATAACAAAAATTAAGTTATGCAAGCAAATTTGAATTTAGTAGAATATCATGATTTCTTTGTTTTTATACTCAATGAATATTTTAATCCACTTATATTAACGTACAATACAAAATATTAACAATTTAGACCAATATAAATGATTTTGAATGGTATCTATTACAATTGATGTAACAAATTAGATATGAATTAATTGAAAGATTTAAAAATAATATTAAATACTTTAAATAATCAAGATAGATTCACTAACATAAAATACATAAAAGATGCTAATTATACTTTTGTAAATTATTTGTCTATAGGAACAAATAAAAACATCTCAGATAATAATAAATAATAAATAAAAAAAAATCTTCAACAACAAACATTAAAATAGTTTTCTAATCATGGATTAGATCTTTACAACTTTTAGATATGCCATTTGGCTAATGTAAATTATCTAATAATTTTTTTACTTTTATGAAGTCATATTTGAAGCAACCTAAAACTTAAACAATTGGACTACAAGTTGCTTAGTCTTTAGAAAGCTTTTACAATGTCTTTTTGGTAGATATTACATATAGAGGCAAGATTAAGGCCATTCTTGGTTTTGCCAATGCTTCTTTTGTAATCTAATCTTGCTTCTAGACTCTTTAATTTTTTTGTACTTGAAAATAATATTTTTTATTAATTTTATTTTATATTAATTTTTCTTTTATTTACTTTCTTTCATCTTAATCACACAGGAATATATTGTCTTTTTAAATTTTTATCTACATATAAGTCTCTAGTGAATTAAGTAAACTAATATATTTAATATTAAATTAAAAAAAATTATTTAAATACTAATTTTTTTCAAAGATTAAATTTTATCATTTTTAAATTAATATCATTTATGAAATACCATTTATATTTTACAAATGTAATAAAATAAAATAATTTTTTAAAAATCAATATTTTTTATGTATCAACTTTTTATACCTCATGTCATGGACATATATATTTACTCTCATAATTATCTATATAATTTGAATAAGTAGAAGTAAGTAAAAATAAATTAATTTATTAATATCTTGTAAAATAGCTTCTTAGAAGCTTCATAGATGCAATTTCATTTATACGTGTCTATAGATGATTGATAGGAAGAAAACTTAGCCAACAAATTAGCCATGTATCATATATGTTGGTAGCTTGTGATATAAGTTAACGATGTGGTGCATATATAAGAAACTTGCCTTGTAAGTTAAGACACATGTCTTGCAAATTGGACACGTGTCGGAGGTCCTAAAAAACGTCACCATATAGCTCCTAGTTAGATAGCATATATGGAGGCAAGATTGAAGCCTTCTTCACTCTTATCAATTCCTTTTCCTACTTATAGTCTAGTTTCAAAGAATTCTAATTTTCTTGTCTTTCGGCAATAGCCATTGTAGTTTCTTTTTTTAATATATATACTTTCTTATTTCTATTTTGTCAGCTTTTTTTTGAGAAAAGTCTCACTTGTTAATATTCCTTCATTAAGTTCTTGTCCTTAATACCATTTCAATCAATATCTTAAGTAATTATTTACAAAGATACAAATATGACAAAATTTTCTTTATTAGTTTTTTTATTTTAAGTATTTTTTTTAGATACAATTACATCAATCAAAAAATCAAAAAATATGTTTTTATAGAAATTTGATGGTAATAGATCTAAGTTTTAATTCATCAATAAAATATAGTTTTTATTCATCTTCAATTCTTTGTATTTAAAATTATTATTTCAAATTTTAATACAAGTTTGTTAAAGATGTAAAATTTGTATAGTTTTTACCTTTTTCTTATTAGATTTTAATATCTTTGTTATTTTTTAAAGATTTTAAAAAATACATATATATTATAAGATATTAGTAATACAAAACATAAAATTTATGCATATAAAGTCATAGATAAACAATTATTATCTTTTAAAGTTATTATTCATGAAATTCTAATAGTAGAAATAATTGTAAAAGATTATATTAGTTTTTTAACAAGCATACAATTTAGTATGTATTAAAGATTAATTTTAAGTTTACATAAATTTTAAGATTTATTAAAATCTGGTATGCATTAATTTTAAGATTTATTAAAATCTGGTATGCATTAATTTTAAGATTACATAAATTTTTTATGCTTGTTTGGTATTATGACCTTAGAAGAAACTCTTGATATTTGATCATTTTATTAGAAATAGGAACATTTCTTGATGATGTTTCAAATTTTTTATTTGAAGGGAGTTATAAAGACCTCAACAACAATTAAATAACAAGGTAGTTTTTTTGCTGTAGTACAAGATACTATTGATGATGGAGAGGACTTATCAATCATCTACAAAGAAAACAAAGATTAGAACATGTAACAAATATAATTTGCTATATTTTAAATTAATTCAACATATGATGACTGTTCTTTGTGGAACTCATCCCTTAAAGGAAAAGGAGGGAGATAATGTAATATATATATTCTTAATATATATAATTATTAAAATATATATAGATACTATTGATATGTAATTGTAGTTGATTGGTAGGTTAGAAACTTGGTCAACAAGTTAGCCACATGTCACATGTATTAATAGTTTGTGAAATAAGCTAATTATGTGGCATACATATGAAAAACTTTCCTTGCAAGTTAAGACATGTGTTTTGCAAAGTCAATATGTGAAATAAGATTAGACTATTTTTAGGATCTAAAATCCTTCCAATTTATAGTAATATAAATCTTGCCACAAATTAGGACAACGTAGAGTAAACCAAAATTGAATAAAACTAAAAAAAATGAAACATGAAAGACAAAAAGAGAAAAAAAAAATAAAACAAAATAAAACATAAAAATACAAAATAAAACTTTATTAAGAGAAAAGGACTGAAGTCATACCTGACCAGGTACCTAAATGGCCCTAGCTAGTCATATTTATACTTTGTTTAACTATCCTAGAACTTTTTAAAATAATTTTAATGATAGGTTCTACATAAGTAATTGTCCTAAATTCTTCTTAGAATGTTCTACAATAAATCCTACATAAACCACCAACCTAGCTCTAATTCTAGAAACTTCTCAAACATGGCTCCAATTACCTATCTCTATGTATTAACAATATGAATATTATCTATACTTTTTTATAGTTAATCTCTATCTACTAATGTGGAATGTCCTTGCTTTGCTTTTGATAGTATCTCCAAATTTATTTTTTACAATAGATGAGATTTTATATTGGTTCTTATTAAAACAAGTCCAGACTATCTCAAAAACCCAAGATCCTTCTATTCTATAGTAATATAAAATCTTATCACAAAATAAGGTAAAATAAAAAAATAGAATTGAATAAAATTAAATATAATAAGACATGAAAGACAAATTGAGCAAACAAAAAAAAAACAAAATTGAATTGAACAAAATGATGTAAAATCAAATGTTACTAAGAAAAAAGAGTTTGAAGCCATACGTGATTAAATACCCCAAAAGGCCCTAAGTAGTCCTATTTATATCTTGTCCTATTACCTTGGACTTTCTAGAATATTT